ATCCATACACTTTTCAATTACACATATACCTGCAGAGGTAATAAAGTGAGCACTCATATTTCTACAAAAATATGCGTGAAGCAAATTTCACATAGATCGATATTACTCTAACCCCCCTACCTATTAAAGATAATTTTAGGTACCTATTTCGAAATTCTCAATATGTGAAAATGATCTTTTAATGAGCCATAATACGGATGGTGATAGAAAATTGAGATACCTTTCTCACGTAGAACTGTTAGAAGTCATCGGCACGATTTAGTTTTAGTGGGTAATTTAATTAACTGCGGTGATTGACTTACAACTATTACAATGAAACCGTAAAACTTTAATGAGATTTTAATCTTCATTTTGTGGAAATAATGATAAACCGTTTATATTTAAAGCAAGGAAGATATGGAACGTAGGCAATATCGTACAGAATGTTCCTGGTACTCGTGAGGGGACTAGTTATTTTCTTTGTGTGTTTCAAAGTTGATGTCGGCTGCACCTCACTAGGTCAATGTAAGAGAAATTTTGTAGCAAATATTTTCAGATGACAAAACTTATAGTTATTTTACCCTTTGTTGGATTTTCATGTGGAGGATGTCCCCAACACTATTGTAATGATGACAAGAACGTTATTGGGGGATATTGCTGTGGATGTGCGCGATATGCAGGTAAGCACCCATTCTACTGAATACATTATTTATAACATTTTTGGGTTCATAGATCAGTTACCAATAAAATGTCCCCCAGGCGTAATGTGTCCGTCTAATAACTACGAACTGTGTGAAAATTATGAGTATATGATTAGGTGTTGTTGTGGAAGTTAAGGAATATGGTAATTGCTATACGGTAATGATTACCCATCAGTTGTTCATTAACAAGGCACGTTTCACATTTCTACCTTCTTTTGACCTATAAGGATCCATTTAATCATTACATTTCCTTTTATACATGGTGACAGTTTGTCGTTGTAGTTTATAGAAATTATAGTTTAGTTTTATGGAAACACAAATAAATAGCGCATTTAGGTGTATATTTGTTGTTATTATTCTGGTGTAGGTAAGCGGTCTCTGTTTAAATTGTTTAAATTAAGTGTTCAATAGATTAACAAAAATTATCTGTTTTATAAATTAGGTTCGAGTGAAAACTTTATACCAAATACGAAAATGTGGAAAAACAATATACCTACCGGTGCAATTGTGCGGATCCAGACAAAGAATGTAGATCTAAAAAAGGATGCTGTCTCGCATGAATGGTGTTCGTGAGATTCGTGTCTGATCAACTTATCCGCACAAAAAAAGCCCGGCGTCTAAAAAAATAACCGAAAAATCCATGTTTTCCGAGATGAAAGGAATAATTTTATAACGTCCAGTGCTTTGGCTATTTTAAAAATGGTGTGTTTTATATGATACTTTGCCATAACTACATCAGTTAAATTGAAATATCAAGAGAGTGAGCATTTCTATAGTCACGAAGAGATTACTGATAACATACTTAACTGGTACATTTACATGTTCCCCTATAAGAAGTTTATTCAAATTATTTATTTCAGTATTACGCATCTACCCACTATGTTTACAGTACTTTAATACCCGTATAACGGTTTAGATTTGCCTCATACACTTATTCCCCTTGAAACTATTGAAATAATTAGAAAAATTTGACGCTCAAAATCCACAAAGAATAAAAGGTGCCAAGGGCACAAAATTAAACAAAAAAATTGACTCTGGCAGCTTGTTTTAATATCCCTAATAGGCAAGATACATTTCTCTAGATTTCAACGATTAAGTATACAGCGTAAATTGCTTGTAAGTATAAATTCGCTAAAGCGTATTCTATGAAGCAAGGCTTCCTACCACTACACCATAAAGAGAGAGACTCCAGAGAAAATATAATAGCCAATACAAAAAGCCCTTTTCAAGTAAAGTAAAGGAGAATTATATTTCTATTACAAATTATAATAAGCGTCATAAGAGCACAATCTTCTCTGAAGAAAAATAAGTAACGCGCACGCGAAAGACCAAGGCAACATCAAGAGAGAGGGAGAGAGAGAAAATGCAGAAAAGTACATTCGGATGACCTCTAACGGAAAAAATAAGAACTATGGTAAATGAAACCTATAACACTCAACTAACTACATTTAAAGTAGTTGGATACCCAGTAGAGGTCCGAGCAGCCCGTTAGGCGATAATATAGCAGCTGTAACCAAAGCGAATAAACAGAGACAGAAAATGTCTGGATAATTAGTTAACAAAAAAACATGTTTACCTGTATGCAATTAATCATGTAAATTCTTTCAATTTTACGGTTTATCCTCACAAGCCCGTTTTTTTAGTAGAATCTTCTGATAAATGTAACATTCGATCTTGAATTATGTAATTTATATGAGCCTATTCCTATTCATCTTTTTGGTCTCCGTCCCTTTACCTAGTGTGATAGTAGACAAAATATAATTAATTACCACTATTGTATTAATGACAAGGTAAAATAGGTAAGTTATATACATATTAATTCAATGAATGCGTTAATAATTATGTGATATTGTGATGTCATGTTTATAAAACATCTCGATAAAATTAAAGCATAAATGAGATAGTAAAAGTAAAAAAAAGTCTCTATCAAATGAGAATAATAAAAGAGTGCATTGCTATTTAAAAAAATTCAATTGTTTTTAGTTACTCATTTGTTTTCTACAATAAAAATAATTGGATGCTGCCTTATTATAGGAAATGATATATTAATAATAAAAAATCAACAATTATAAACAATGTGTAATTTTTAAAAGCGGCATGAATTACATTAGGCATATTTCCCATAAGAAAACTTTTGTACAATAGGCAACACACGATACTTATAGCGTCCCCTTAAACCGGAAGTAATAGATATAATTGGCATTGTAGTACTTATATCAAATGGGTACTCTTTGCTTATACATACTTTGTTCTTTACAGTATACAATGCCAAACTTGAAAAATTAAATTTGCAAAAAAAAATGACTGGTCCGAGACTTTTTGCGTAAGTACCCTGTGTGTCTATGACCCAAGTCATCAAAGCTACCTATTCGTTTACGCAGTGTTCCGAAAGAAATGTTTCTTATTTCTTCGGATTTACGAGATAGGTGGAAAACGTACTTATTCGAAACATTCTCCATATATCACCGTTATCAACGTGTTTACGTTTACTTTATCGCAATTTTATTAACCATATATGTATTCCCACGTTCTGCCAGGACACAACCTTACGATTTAAATGGGAAGAAGCGAGCAACTTATGTTTCGGAGACTGCCGTCCAAGTCGCTCGACGCATTCCAGTAGTGGATGCTGATGTATCTCGATACGGTCCAGTTTTAAAGGCGTATTGGTCTCAGTGGAACTCGTTACGGTTAGAAGAGGGCATTCTTACGAATTCGAGAAACTGATGATGGCACGACCACAATTGTACAACTATAGTGATAGCGGAGAGCAGACAATTTGAAACAATACGACAGATGCACCATGGTATATCTTGAGGACATCCAGTGTTTTGTACCACAAGCAATTTTAAATTTAGAACACGGCCTGGAAAAAAATGTAGAGACATGCGTCAGAAATTGGGTGCCATCCATAATAAAGTTTGCCATAATATTCGAGTTAGCGATATGATATGATGAAAGCTCAAGCTGGTGGTTATCAACCCCGAGAACTGATTCAATTGCATTGTCCCCAGAGGAAACGCGATCTATCCCCAAAATTACAAAGGTTTGATGGTAAGGACCGTATAAGCAAAGAGTACCCATGTACTCTTTTGTATACAGTCATGAAGCGAATAAAAGAGCATAAAGGACTATTGAATACGGAAACCCACGAATAATCGGAGCGGTGCTGCATATACATCGATTGGCTCCATACGCGGGACGATCCCGACAAACATCCAGAAGCTCCACTCTTGCAAATTTGATGGCACGTTACCCTGGAACTCAAAGAGCATGTTTTGATGTTGTCCATGATGAATGTAAGATTTGTTTGAAGCGCTTTGGTTCACTGTGTAGTCTAGGACGTCAAGATGTCCCAGAGTATTGCCGCAGCGTCCCGATGTTGGTAGACGTGTGTCCTACAGGAGCTGGGAGGATTTCTTTATTATCTCGTAACAAAATGACCTGTCTTGTGATAAGTTACGAGAATGCTTGGACTGTGCTACGGCATTTAAAACAATTACAAATTCATTACGTTGCAAGCTGAGAATTTAGAAGATCGAATGTAGTCTGGACGCCACATCGTGCGCAATATGCTGGATGTGGTGTTACAAGGTAATTCAAGGTACTGAGGTAGAAATATTGGTCTGTTGTTTTAACCCCAGGTGAACTCTGTAGCAGTTTGGTAAAACAGTCAATCTCTTCTTCTTCGTAATTGGAGGATGCACGAGGTGGTGCGTGATCGTACATGTACCGCCATTGAAACAGTGTAATGGAGAGTCAGCTAGGACCATGCTAGGACTGTATTTTCGATAAGTACCTAGAACAGTCGACGACAACGCCCGTTCACACCATGTCGGATCTTAGTCCCACGAGTGGGAAATCATTGACCATGCTCCGTACAACCTTAATTTGGTCGCCAGTGATTACTATATATACTTGTTCGGTGTTCCCCAATAACACTGAGGAATTAAATTCTCAAGCGCCGAAGAGCTGAAGGCAGCTGTCGAATCTTTCCTGTTGGAGAGTGGTACGACGCAGGTATGCGAACCTAAAAGTGCATTGATCGTGAAGCCGCCGTGATGGAGACGTAAAGAAGACTCGTTAGACAGGTGACTTGTTCCAGGTAACCAGCCGCAGGTTACTGGCTTCGTGTAAATACACTCTGTTCCAAAAATGAGGTAAGGTGCCCTGTTATTTTTCGAGTACGTTGCGTTTACACGAAGTCAGTAATTTGCAGGTGGTTACCTGGCAAGTGGCTTCGTGTAAACGCGCAATTATGCACGCGACAAACTAAAATCATGGCAACACTGCCAAGCCGTTGCACTATACACTTCAAAAAACAGCCGCCTGAACATAACCTATATTTTTCAATTTTCAAACTGTTGTGATTTGTGAATTGTGTATATCTCTTTACTAAATAAGAATGAATTTATCGTCAACGTTAGATCGAAGTTTACAAAGCCCATTTTCTCCAAGGGCTCGCGCCACCATTTCATCTAGACGTGTTTTGCCCGGATTTCAAACACCTTCGTAAGAATGTTAATGTGGGTTTTTGGGTGTACTCTAAATTTCACCAACATTTCAGTAAAGCTCCACCTTCAACAAGATCGGTTCACCTAAATCAAGTGATATTAAAATCATCTAAAAATTATGCGGAACGATTCGGAGAATCTCTCCCAGTTTTGGTAACGGAAGCCATTATTTTTGCCGATAGTAGGTTGTGATTCTTTATTGTGTTTTACTGTTTTCTGTTTTAATAGAGAACGTGTTACTGTCGGCACGCATTTCAAAGTGTGGGTATGCATGGGTGGTGTGTGGTCGGCGATTGCTTATATGGCAGTACCGTCAAAGTGTAACCCAAAATAAGCCGTTAGTCAATAATCAATGTTTCGAATTGCAACTTCCCCAAAGCGACTTGGCTCATCGAGCAGAACTAGTTTCAGTTTTTACGTCGAGCACTTCTGCTGTGCCGTCTTGTATTGCCGTGTCACCTGAAGGTAGGTACATTCTCGCTTTTTAGTTTAAATGATGTAGCTTTGTTGAATTTGTAGGTGTCGTACGCTATTGGCCTTCGGTGATCCATGATGGTGTATCAGTAGAGCAAGCGGTTGATTTGCAGGGCCAGGAGTGCGACAGCTTAACTGAGATTGGGGAACTCGGTTGCATATTAGCGACGACTACATGTTCCGTAGTGTGGGTGCAACCTTCTGCTTTAGGAAGTAGAGCAAGTTTGACCTGCCGTGCATTTCGTATGCCGACGGGATGGCTGGGTGGATTAAGTAGGAGGATAAGCTCGTTCATATTTGGACCAATGTCTGCAGATCCTTCGACTGAAACTGTATGATTATTTGTAAATGTTTTGTTAATGCCAGGGATGCCACGGATATCCGGTGGCAGCTGATCCGGCCATTTTTTGCAAGTACATAGTCATTACATTTGGTAGAAATAATTTACTCGTTGAGAAAGTTTTGTTTTACATGTTATACATAGGGTGTTCAGCTGAGACAATTTCCAAGAAGCTTTTCTGGTCTTTTTGGAATAACCATGCATTAAGTATATCACAATTATAGTGAGTATTCCTATGCAGGAGAAATTATAGAGCATGAAATGAAGGGATTATCTACTACTTTCAATCGCGTTTGTGCATTATTTTTTAAGTATTTCTAGTATGATTTCAAAGAGTCTTAATCAATAATAATTACTTTTATAAACCGGGGTAGACAGTGTTAATAAAAAAACAAAAGAATGCCAGAAAGTAACAAAGTGTCGCAAATAAAGGCGAATTTTGGAAAAGATGAAATACTCTTTTTAAATAATCTTATTTTACTACGAAATAAGGACTACACTTGCACCAAATAATTAATTAATGTGTAACTATTTTTGTGAAAAATATTGAATAACCTAATAACTACGGGGTTTAGGCACAGGACACCCATTATAAAAATTGAAGAGCAAAAGACTGTCGAATAGACAAATGAAATAGTGGTAGTTTCATTTGAAAAAATAGATATGGCACTGAAATATGGAAATTTTACTATTTTTTATGAACACCCTGTATCATTAAATTCAACTTTCTCATTACCAAAGTGTTGCCTTTTATTCAGATTAATATTATTGAACAAATGTATTTCTTAACTTTAAAATTAAGGTCGCCTACGATTTTTTAAAGTGGGGCTGGCATATAGGGAATCATTCGGAAAAAAAATTAATAATTTGGCAACATTGACAAAAAGCAAATAGTGAATAGGTTGCCATACAGAGGTTAAAAAATGACATCTGAATCAGCCAAAAATATATAGGGTGTTTCATTTTAAAAAATCAGCTGTGTATTGGCACCGTAAAAATGGGACATCCTGTACATTCACAAATAATGTCTACAGATGTGCAACCATCTACAGGGTGTTTTTTTGGGAGCTTTAGTTAAACGTTTCTGGGAAAGTAAAATACGTAGGTTTTTGAAAATTTGTACTAGTTATTTGTAGTAGTTACTCTCAAGGCCGAATCTATGTAAAATATTTTCAAAATGTCCGCACTTCCGGAAACACCGGAAGTAGATAGTAATTCCGTTATTTTAAATGGCAACCCCTATTTTTTATTGCATTTTTGGATTCTACGTGAAATTTCAGTTCTTTTGATACCCATATGTCGATATCTGCCATTTATGGTTTTTAAGTTATTTTGACTTTAAGAAAAAAAATGGCGGATGCAGATGGTACCTTGATAATTGATTACTTGAAAAAGGTTATAGTCATGGCAACCCATTTTTATCAGTGCATAGAGAATGAATAGGGCTTTCTTTTAGTGTACTTAAAAAAAAGTTAAGTTGCGTACAACCGCACCTATGGAGATCCAAATTTAAGAAACTTCAAAGTCTATAAACTCAGTTTTTTTAAATGGAATGACCATGTTCTTAATATTGCATGAGATAGAGAATCGAAATTGGCATATTTTGATATTACATGTTCCTATAGCTATCTTTAACAGTTTCTGATTTATTCCCATTTCATTGAATTGATCTCGGAATTGATGCCATTTTTTTTCGCATTTTCTTTTTAGTAGTTGGCCATGATTTTATAACAATCGAATTTTAAACAAATCAAGGAATGGATTCTTTAATACCATTGATTCTAGTTCTAGTCTAAATAATTCATTAATCAATAACTCATTTATTAAGGATATAGGACGGAAAATTTTTGAAAAATCTAAACAGTCATTCAACTGAATTTCTTAAACAACGTATAAGTCTGGAAATTAAGAGAGGTAATGCGATATCTGTTCTAGCAACAATTCCATACCAAAAATGTTTCAACGAAGTTTTTTATATTTTGCATTGAATTTATTTTGTTAATCTTGCATTTGCAATTCAATTCATTTTCTTAAATATTCTCTTGTAGAGCTTTGTATCACTTGTGCTTCAACGGTTTGTAGTGCATTAGGGGTACAAAATTTCCAAAATTCATACAATTTCGTTCCAGTTTTCGAATGAATGTACGGAAAGCACGCGCCGCGATTCTGCTCATTTCACCATAAATAACAATTAAATTCCAAAATAGGTGAAACCACTGCGAGTCATTTGTCGATTTTTGAAAAACTTATGTTAACCTATAACAGTAGGTGATGGATTAGTGTCACTAGATTTGTTTAAAATTCAATTGTTATAGAATCATGGCCGACTACTAAAAAGAAAATCTGAAAATATTAGTGTCAATTCAATAAAATGGGAATAAGTCACAAACTGTTAAAGATAGCTATAGGAACATGTATTGTCAAAATATGCCCATTTCGATTCTCTATCTCATGGAATAGTAAGAACATGGTCATTCCATTTAAAAAAACTGAGTTTTTAGTCTTTGAAGTTTCATAAATCCACACGATATCCACTTTTTTTTAAGTGCACTAAAAGAAAGCCCTATTTATTCTCTATGCACTGATTAAAATAGGTTGCCATGACTACAACCGTTTTCAAGTAATCAATTATCAAGGTACCATCTGCATCTGCCATTTTTTTTCTTAAAGTCAAAATAACTTAAAAACCATAAATGGTAGATATCGACATATGGGTATCAAAAGAAGTGAAATTTCACGTAGAATCCAAAAATGCAATAAAAAATAGGGGTTGCTATTTAAAATACCGAAGTTACTATCTATTTCCGGTGTTTCCGGAAGTGCGGCCATTTTGAAAATATTTTACATCGATTCGGCCTTCAGAATAACTCCTAAGAACAAATTTTCAAAAACCTACCTATTTTACTTTCCCAGAAACTTTTAACTAAAGCTCCCAAAAAAACACCCTGTATAGTTGGTATTTGCACAAAAGGTTTTTGTTATCCTTTTTTTATGCGTAATATGTTCTTTGCTACTATAGACAAATTTCGTAGTATGAAGAATTATTAGGATGATTTTTATGTTGTCAATATGGTTCCTTCGATTTTCGCTGACTGTTTTCAATGTTTTTTAGAAAATTATTACATAAACATAAATATTCTTTGTCCTCCCTAACAAATCTAAATAATTTAAAATAATGCTAAGTTCTCCTGGAAAATGCCAATATTCCACATGTCTGTAAAAAGTAGATCAAATAGTAGTAGTAGATAATCTCTTGAATGAGAAACTGAAAAATGAAAAAGTTCAGTACTGTTTTGCTCGCTACTGTGTTTTAGTCCACTGCCACCTTGTCTTTTTTGCCAGATATGCGTATCTACGTTACCGGGTATCCGGACCCAGCAATTAAAAATAGCGTGAGTGGCGACATCTGTAACTGATAAATTTTTTTCAGCGTCTCATCCGTGTCTTGGCCGTACAACAAAACGAAAACGTTTGGATTGTGTATGTTTTAGCAGGACATTTACTTCAAAAATGGAGATTGCAAAGCAATAATGAGGAGCAGCTGGTATTTGTAACTGAGCTAAATCGATTAGTACGTGAAAGCTTTTGTTCAACCATTTGGGAGCAAGGCGGCGGTGATCACTCGGATGTCGACACTTGGCTTCTAGATTTACAATCGGATAAAGGCAGCATCGTTTTATTAGCAGCTGCCGTTAATATGCATCTTTCACCACAAGTTCACTATGCCATGGTCTTCATAGATACGAATAATAATCCACAAACTCCCATCCGCATTAGGGAGGTAATTCTGTTGAAATTGAGCGGTATTTACAGAGAAGAGAATTCTACCGAATCGCTTTCGTATCAGTTATTGCTTTGTGGTAGTTGTGCATACTTGTATAATCATCATAGCATCACTGTGCTCAATTCACCGCACGAACCTGACATTTTAAAATTTACGAATATAAAGGACTCAGTGTTAGGTGGGGCGGTCTGTGCTAATGCTCCACTATTTTTTTTGCGTAATCATGGCCTAGTTTCCATATCTTCTTATGATGAAGACATCGACTTAAGTACTTCAGTGACCTCTCGAGTTGATGGAAGTCACGATATTGATGTCGGTAATCTCTGCATATTCTCGATGGATGTCGATGAAATTTGCGCAGCATCTTCGAGCATCACCAGTAAAATAAAAGCTGCCTTTTTATTTTACATAAAAAATCAGCAGGTAATTTCAACATTCAGTTCTTTTTTTTAACATAGTCCTTACAGTCAGCTTGCCAGAGCATTGTCCAGGAATTACTCGCAGAGGATTCAGGAACTACTTGTGATTCAACAATCAATAAATCCATCGTAGATATTGGTCACGAAATACTAGACGACACTCCGGCAGGTGATCCTCGTTGGACTCATGGTAAACGGATTGGTATTGGCAGTTCGTATTCCATGCAAATTTTACACCAACTGCAAGATAAACTGAAGTCGTTTAATTTATTTCTGCGTTTTCTTCGAGACTTAAATTTATTTAGTTTTCTTACGACCATAAATGTTCGTCATACAACATTTGCAACAGTTTACATCTTGGGTATGTATGAAAGACTACTTGTTTTATCTCACTTCCTACAAAATTGCATTTATCTGTCATTGCATTCTACCAGTAAAATTGGATAATGTAAACTATGATGCTCATTGGTCACGATTAGAGCTGTAGCGAGAGGAGCTCCAGGCGGACGGTTTACTATGGTCGCCACATTGTGGTATTATTCTTCAATAAAGCTATCCTTGTTCCTCACCGCAATGATGCCAAACTGACATATGATTGAATTGTATTAAAACCGACATAATCTCCTTGTGCTGTCATTGTGACATTTGTTAATAAGTTTGGCAAGCATGTACTGTATGTCCATTGTCCAACACTGCATCTGGAGGTGCGAACGCGCTATAGCAGTCTACTTCGTACCGCCTTTGGGAAATCCCGGCTTTTCCTTGTTTTTCCGAAGTACACCTTCAAAGAAACCTATGTTCTAGATGTCAAGTCTCTTTTCGACTGAAAATTCCGTTCCCATGGGAATTTCGGAAAGTATTTTACTAACTCGGAAACTTTCGCAGGCATTCGTCCAACTATGAACGATTTAAATAGGCATAAGAGACAGACAGACAAACATTCATTTTTATTTATATTCGAAATAGCACACCCGACGAACGTTGTATCGCCTATACCGGCAAATCTCTTATATATGGCTACATTGATATTGCCACTTCCATTATAGTGTGCACATTTTAAATTCTTTGAGGTTTTGCGAATTAAGACATGCCATTTCAGGACATTGTGGTGATGTGCTTCAAATTCACACTGTGCACATTTTAAATATTTGAAAGTATTGTGAGATATCATATGGGTACTTTAACTTTGCTTTGTATCGGTACCAGCATGTAAGAAGGCTTCAGGAGGAGCCAACTGATTCTGTTTCGCACTAATAGGTGCAATTAATAGAACATGAATAGTGGGGATGCGCAATCTTTCGTAGTTCGTTGTATAGTCACACTGTGCACATTGTAAATCCTTTGAAGATTTGTGTGTTAAGAGGTGTCGTTTCATAATATGTTTGCAAAATTGCAATGTGTGCAATTTAAATCTTTTGAGTAGTGTGTATTACCATTCTATCACATTTTTATAATTTGATAGTTTTTTATTTCACGGTTGGTAAGATTAAAAACATTTTATTTAACGGTTGTTTTCATTCGTTCTCTTCTTTATACTTTTATAATAATTTTCTTTATATTTCTTTCGTGTTTTTTCCATGTTTTAATAGTTATTTTACTATTCGGGTTGGAAAGGAAAGAAAATTGAGATATAGAAATAAAGGATTCGTGCTGCGCTAGTTATTTCTCCGTTATTGTTCCAATATCTGTGGATCTTTTTATAAATAAACTTCGCGAAGTAGAGGCAATACAGGGTCGTTGAAAAATCTGGAAACGGTCGATTATTGGGGAAAATATACAAGATGTCACAAAAAATATACAAAAGTTTTGTGTTTCTTCAATGTCGACTAGGTAGTAATAATTTTAATTATACATGGTTGGTCGTAAAAGGCGTGGCACACCGAAATTGAATTTTTTTAATGAAACACGCTGTAAATTATTCGATATTTGAATTCTTCTCCGAATTTTCAGCAAAATTTGTATCATAAATAATCATAAGTATCATATCATAAATAATATGATAATAATAAATAAACTTGCATTTATTACCGGTTTGTCTACATAGTTGCCGCGGAAATTGTATAAGAAACAAAAGTATACTGCTTTGCTATATTTATTTAACATAGACGTCAGACTTCACAGTTGCGTTGGTTCCCTTATTAATTTTGTATAAATAGCTAAACACGCACGCTAATCAAGTGAGATGCGAAGTGTCTGTGAAGGTGTACATCCCGAATTTAATAGTCACACTTCGCGTGTTTATACCTACAATAGCGGAATTAATTGACAGTGAAAAATCAGCCATAGAGTTATTTTGTCTACATAGTTCCCGCGGAAATTGTATTAGAAACAAAAGTATACTGCTTTGCGATATTTATTTAAAATAGACGTCAGACTTCACAGTTGCGTTGGTTCCCTTATTAATTTTGTATAAATAGCTAAACACCATGTGTGGTGTTCATTTAATTATTTTAAGATCTTTTAATGCGACACATTGAATCTACACCTGTAAGATTTGATAGCAATGGCGTGGAAACTCTACTGCGGTACTTGAGGGTCTCTGGTTCGAATCCGAGTTCGGGCATGGATATTTGTAAATGTATAGGGGGCTGGGTTGGTAGAGCAGCCTTGGCTGAAACCGACCCACTTAAAAATAAAGACCAAAAATAAATAAATAGTTAATATATTAAAAAAACACTAACTTACTAAACACATTTTTAATAACATTTCCAATGCACATCATTTTGTACAATATACACAAGGAAGTATTTCTTGCATAGTAAGAATGCCAATTTAAAACAAAATCGATATTTGAGATCGATATGACTTGCAAATAAAATCAATTTGAACACTTTTTTGCAGTAAGGTAAAACCAGGTGCCAAATTTTTGACAGAACAGCTTCCTAGCATAAAACCAAAAAACGCGCATCAGGCGCTTTTTTTTACATTTGCTTGTTAAGGGATTTCAAATAATTTAATAAAAATGGTGAGTTATTGAAAAAAAAGGTTTTTTTACAAAAATTCGGCCTGTTATTCTTCGTACGTACATACATACAGACGGAAAAAGTGTATTCTTTGGAAGTTGCTCAAAACTATGTATCTAAAACGTCGACATTTGATAAAATTTTTCAATTTTCAAATTGGGAAAATATAAATTATTAAAAACCATTATTGTTTCCACTTTGGACTAAGTACATCACATTAGAGTACATTTAGGAAGATGGTTTTTTGGAGAAGACATTTTGGAAAAAGAAGGCATACGTCATGGAAATCTTTCGCATATGTACAAAGTGCCTATGGGAAATTTAGGTTAATGTAAGAGCATTGTTTAAATGCATTTAAACAATGGTAAGAGATCTCTGGAGAAAACCCAATCTGATCTGAACTGTGAATAAATGGGTAGCTAATGCTCCAAATTTTGGGAAAAATGTGAAATTTTGGGGAAAACAAAATGAAAAATCGGGAAATATAAAGCATTTTTGGAAACTCTGCCCGAGAAAATTATTCCGAAGGAGGAAAAATAAAAATAGTGATGTAACGCTGGAAGTTTTGGGGTGGAATTTTAAAAACCAAAAAATTCTCGTGGAAATTTGGACGAAACATAATAAAATTTTCAAGAAATAAGATAGAACCTTTTGGAGACGAAAATGAAAATTTTAAACAAATGAAGTTTGGGTAAAGAAGAAATTTGTGACATTTATTTTGTACAAATTGAACAAATTTTATGCTATTGAAATAATATAATTAGACGAAGCTAGGGAGACGAGGAATTACTACGGGACGACGATGTAGGAATTTTGTGGAAGTTTGTAAGGAATACGACGAAATTTAGGAAAGAATGGTTCGAAATTTTGAGAAAATAAAAAGTTGCAATGAAATAGGGCTAGGTAGGTACTTATTTTGTATAGAAATTTGAGTCAATACAAAAAAGGGGGAATAACTAATAAGAGGGCGGAGCTTTTGGGAATGAAAGAATCTCAACAACATAAAAATTATGTTACTTCGAAGTTGAACTAGCGGCAGGGCAATCGTTAGTAATAATAATAAACTGCATCGATATAGACAACGAGCGAGAAGCTCAGTTCCGTGTCAACGAGGATTGACCAAAATTTAATCAGTTAGTCATTTGACCATTGTCGACCTATTACTGAAAACAGAATTGGAAAATTCGAAACCGTTCGTGAATTATCATGTACCTAGACGGACGGACGGACGAACAGAAAATCCAAAATCATGAACTAGCTTTTGTAGCTCGTTATTAATATGTATGTATTCCAATTCAGTTTGTACAAAAGGCACTCTCTTTCCCTAATTGTCCCATACCTATGATCCCTTAGGATTTTTTTTTTTAAATAGGGTTCGACTGCCAAGGTCATATCCCCTTTATTGCACGCTATAGAGTACAGGTACATATATGCACAGTGCTATATAATTCGACCTTTTTGTAAATGTCTAAAGTGTATGGATATGGCGCGAATCAAGTGAGATGCGAAGTGCCTGTGAAGGTGTACATCCCGAATTTAATAGTCACACTTCGCGTGTTTATAATAATAATAATAATATATATTTATTCCAATAATAACATGGAATCCCATGGTACAAATTCAGCAAAAGCTGTTCTTATTTATTTATTTATTCAAAAAAACTTTGCAGAACAACAGGTAATGCCCAATAACTGTTCTGCAGACCAATTTACAGTTCACAGAAAAGATAATAATAATAATTAAAATAAAGTAAAATTAAAATAAAAATAAAATAAAATTCACCTACGCTAACTTACTGATTTGTAATATTATGTTGACAATTTCTAGATGTTATTTAAAAGTTGTCCTCTTCCATATGCACCATGCACATAAATAAGTGGAGTGGAGTGGAGTGACGTATACGTTTTACAGAAACATGGTGTACTAAAGTATCTATCAATAATGTTAACTTTCCTAATTTTAGAAAGATTTCGCACTATTGTAGGTCTATTTATAAAGGTGGAGGTGTTGGAATTTGGTGCCGTAAAAATCTAGATGTCACGGCGGTAAATCTGGAAAATTATTGTGAAGAAAAAACCTTTGAAATCTGTGGCACAGCCTGGAACACAAAAAGTAAACATAATTATCTTAAGGTAGTAATTCTTACATGTTATCGCTCACCATGCGGGGAGTTTGACAAATTTTGCAGCAAGTTGCAGGCTGTACTAGACTCTCTATTTACACCAACTGTTTACTTCATTTTGCTGGGGGATATTAATGTTGATCCCGTTAGAGATAACTGTCTTTTTAGTAAAATAAGTCAGCTACTGATCTCTTATAATATGGTAAGTACCATAAACGCACCTACTAGGAAAGGTAAACTTTTAGACCATGTCTTCACAAGTGTTAGTTAATGTTTTACAAAACTGCATTTCTGATCACAGTACCGTTGTCATAAAATCAAATATAGATGCTCCAAATCAAAGCGAAAAAATTCGGATTAGAAGTTATAATGAAAATCGCCGTAGAGAATTCTATAGTCAATTGGAAATAGAAGATTGGGATCCAGTGTTAAGAGGATCGGATGTAGAGACTGCTTTTAATATATTTAGTAAGATAGTGTCTCACCACTTCAACAATGTCTTTCCTTATCTATATAAAAACAAAAACGGAAACGTTCCTAAAGGGTGGGTTAATGAGGACGTGAGGACGTCTAGTGCAAACTTGAAGTCATTCTACATGTTACAAAGTAAATATCCCGAGCTAAAGCCTCAATACATAGAAATGAAAAGGAAGCATATGACCCTAATTAAACATGTTCGCAGGGCGTATGTCCAAAACACCATTCTTAACTCAGATAACATGGTAAAAAGCGCTTGGTCATTTATAAAAAGCAAACACGGCTCCCAAACTAGAAACTTGAAATTGAAAAAGGGTTCAGTGTACATTGAAAACCCCCACGATGTCGCAGAATCTTTCAATAACCACTTTAAAAACATTCCCAATGAGACAATTGCAAAAATTACCAAACATACAAGCAAAACAATTAAACTAAACCATAATCCAAAATCTTTGTATCTAACACCCTTTTGTGAACCAGAAATGATAACGCTTATAAACAAAAAAATAAAAAACAAAAGATCAGCAGGGCCGGATGAACTCCCATGCTCCCTAATTAAATTTGTTTCTAAAGTAATTGCGAAACCTATAACCTATATTGTAAACGTGTCATTCGCGACTGGAAAGTTCCCAGTTGCCTTAAAACTAGCAAAATAATTCCGGTTTTTAAAAGCGGTAGTGCAGAAGATGCAAGCAACTATAGACCAATTGCCATAACATCAGTATTCTCAAAAATTCTAGAATATTGCTATTTAGATAGATTAGAAAGTTTCCTAAAAAAATGTAATGTACTTAGTCGAAACCAGTTTGGATTCAGACCAAATACATCTACAGCAGACGCCGTCCAATTTTTCTTAGATAAAATACTGCAGTCAATTGAAAAAAAGGAAGCATGAATTGGAGTGTTCTGTGACATATCCAAGGCGTTTGATTGCTTAAACCATAATAGATTACTTGCAAAACTATCCTCCTACGGTATTCGAGGTATTCCTTTGAAATGGTTAAACAACTTTTTGTGCAACAGGCACCAATACGTCTCATTAACACACACTTCGGAAAGTACCAATAACTTCATAAATTCAAATACTGTGACACTTAATGTAGGCACTCCACAGGGAACAGTTCTGGCTCCAATTTTGTTTATTCTATACACAAATGATCTTATACAACATGCACAGGAAAACGCTGTCATCACCCTATATGCTGATGATACATCTATAATTGTTTCAGACAGAGATAGAAATCGTATCGCAAATAAATGTAATCAGACCATGCGGAATATCAGTAATTGGTTCAGTGAAAACTTCCTTTATTTAAACGAAAATAAAACAAAATTTCTTCAATTCCATAATCGCCACAATACAAATATTCCTTCTATTAATATTTGCATTGATGGCAATCAAGTGAATAAATCCGATGCTGTGAAATTCTTAGGTATAACACTAGATGAAGCCCTAAGCTAGAAACCTCATTGCCAAAATTTAGTGTCACACTTAAACCGTCTTTGTTACCAAATGCGATACTTAAGTAACTATCTTGATCTGAAGCAATTAAAACTCTTTTACCACGTATGTGTGGAATCCAGGCTCAGATATGGAATCTGCTTTTGGGGTTCTTCACATGCTGCTTTTCAGGTTTTTGTAATTCAAAAACGAATAATAAGGTGTATGATTGGTGCCCACAGAACACAATCTTGTAGACAACTGTTCAATCGTCTGTCTATATTACCTTTAGCCTGCGTCTACATGTTTGAAATTTTGAAGTTCATTTACCAAAATAAAATAAATCTAGTCAAAAATAGCAACATTCATCATCATCAAACTAGAATATGCGAACAATATAGAATACCTTTCGGCAGAATAAACATAAACAAAAGCAATGTCTACATCGTTGGAGTAAAAATATTAAACAAACTTCCACTTGATATAAAAAACGCTATAACATTCTCTATCTTCAAGCACAAATTAAAAAAGTATCTTCTTTCTAGAAATTTTTATGAAATTAGTGAATATCTATCAAATTAAATTGTCCTGTGATCAAGAAATTATGTTAACTAAAAAAAATATATATATGTATATATACTTACTGTGATAACTATCATTACTTGTTGGTCGTAAATTCATATATACTTACTGTGATAGTTTTATCATTACCTGTTTGTCGTAAATCTTACTGTTTGTTTGTCTGTTTACAATTTGACTTATCTTATCCATGTACCTAAATGGCTAAAAGATGAAATATATATTATTATTATTATTATATTGTGCCAGATTGCAGCTACAAATTCACTTTTCATTAAAGTTTGGGCAATAATTCTGTCCGAACAATAACCAAGAACTTAGTACACTGGGAAAGACTACAATAATAACAAATGACGTACAGCCCACTTGAGTAAGTAGGTTATCATTGTACTCGAAGCCATAGTTTACTCACCGGCCGCCTTTCTTCCTCGTTACAGCGCTACTCATTATCCACTTTAGTATCCGCATTTATTTTTGTTCATGTGTAATGTTGCTATTATCATCATTGTTATGGTTTTGATATGTCCCACTTTATTTAGGAGAGCTACCTGAAAAGATTGCCGCTGCCATTTCCTTGAAAAGGATAGGTCACAATGAAATATTCGAGAATGCAGTTAATGCATGTGTCGAGGACTCCGAGGTCTCTGTTGAAACCGGTCTAACTAAGCAAGATATCCTATTTAGCGAAGTTACGAAAATTTATAAAGTTTTGCAAGAACTGGTCGAGCACTGTGACCAAGTTGCTCATTCTGATCGTAACCCTTCAGAAGTTGTGACACTTATTAAGGAGACTAATGACATACTTCTGGTTAGTTACGGCTGCGGTACCTACTCTGTTATGATTGCGCATGTGACTTTACAGGTTGCACTAAAAGACATAATTCAACAACGTCAACAGAATCAAGGTACTTACGTACCCAGTAGTAAAGTCTTGCAGTTAGCACCTGGTTTTATGCCTTGGACTGCTGCGCTTGGACCTGAAGGTTTACACGACTGCATTTTACTACAGGTAATATTCGCATTTAAATCGTTCTCTAAATTGTCTACATTCAGCAATCACTAACGTACAATTACGGCACTAAAATTACTAGCGACGGTAATATACGCAATATCTTATATGACCAGTTAGGGTTTTTGCTGGACTTTATCTTGGATGGGTACAAGTCGTATGTGGACAGTGTTCGAGGAACTAGCCGAGAGGGTATAGCTCTGCAGCAATACAAAATTGATCGTCATAAACTCATATCCGTGTTACGTAAGTACATTTAGATACATTTAGATCTAATGGTTTGTGGTTACAGTTGCTGAAAAACAGTGGGAGAAATGTGCCAAGTTAGCTGAAAAGTACTTAGACTTTGAAGCTTTGGTTAATATATGTGAATTGACTGACAATCGACATCGGCTAGAAAATTACATGGAAAATTTCAGTTCAGAAGGATTTTCAGAATTTTTATATTCGTGGTACTTGCAAGAAAATCAACCGGGAAAACTTATTAGTCATTACCGTACCCTAACAAAACCGAAACATACGCAAAAACTGTCAAATTTCTTAACCGATCACCCCTCGTTAGCCTGGATACAGAACATGTACGATGATAAATTCTCCAATGCATCAATGATTTTAAAAAATTTAGCGTTAAATGAAACAGAATCCATTGTAAGGCAAAAGACTATGTTCAGTATCAGTAAGTTAGCAATGTTGGCCTCAGATGATGATGAAAATCTCATAAAAAACTATGTGGAAAATATTAACGGTAGATTAGAACTGGTAGCCATTCAAGAGGAGGTACCTGATTATGTACTTCAACACTTTGGGTACGATACCATTAATAGAAAGGTGCTTTTGCCGAAAGACTTAATCCACCTATACACATGTGTCGAATACAAAGAGGCTGGTGATGTTGAGTTTAAGAAGGCTCTCGATTTACTGGAATATGTAGACGATGAGAAGCGTTCTGAACTTTTACTTCATATATGGAAGGCTGCCATTCTAAGAGATTCTTGGCTACAAGGGAATATTGATTCTCCTATGGAAATTTTGCAAAATACACTATTTTTTAAAATATGTGATTTAGCCCGTATTTTTGGTATGTATATTGATCGTTTCAGCATTATTCATTTTAAAATGACTTTAAACATACATTTTCAATTGTGTTACAAAAACAGGCGTTACATAAAACATTAAAATGTGTACACCTATTCAGCACATCGGGATGAAAGTAATTTGACATTTAGTTTTAATTGTTCTAGGAGGAAGCGCACACGATTTCCTTCCACCCATTGAAGATTTAATGGAAATACCTGAACTGTCTGTTCTGCATGAAAATAAAAATTTTCAATACTTAATTAAGCTAGCATATGAATATTTGTACGGAAATGAAGATTAAATGAGCATTTTTACTATTCAAACTTTTATTTTTAAAGTAATTATTAGGGTTTAAACCTGTCGGTACCATTGCAACAATATACAAGAAAGGAGATCCACTAAGTAACTTCTTCTATTTAAAATGTGGGGTTGCTGAATTCATTAAATGAATGATGAACGATGCCGGAACAGTCATGCCCATTTTGATGTTCTTTGGCTACATGCAATTTATTATTTAGATTTAAGTGCTGTGACATAAGTTAAGTTCCGAATTTTTATCACATACTTTTTTTGCGCTGTTTTCTCACGTAGGTTGTTGCCTCAGGATCCCTGCGTAAATTGAATGGCGGTTTTCCCGGGGGCTAACCTTTCGGTTTCTTTTTATCTTGTGAGACCTGGCTGTGTCTGTATCAGTTTCTGAAAGATCTGTATCTTGTACTTGATCATACATTATCCAGTGTCGCACATGTCGTTCTTTCATTTCATAGGTTTTGGTAATGTATTGGCGTACTTGTACAGAACACCTTGGGTTTTCATGGAGTGATAGGACTGTGATGATCTGTTGGGTAAGTTATAAGTAGGTACTTAATGTTTGGGGCAAAGAGGGGATGTTTTGTGTAAAGGTCCCGGGACAGGGTCTCTTAGTCGATTTTTGGTAAAAAAGGAAGGTTATACACTGCCTTTTTTTGAGCCCCGAAAAAAAAAATTGTCTCAGATCGCCCCAGGAAAAAAATTTTCTTATATGTGGCCTGTAGATTCCATAATTTCAAACAGTTCCAAGATTGGGCTACTAGTTCAAAAGTTACAGCCCTTTGAATTTTTTTTGGAAATTGGTTTCTAGTCTATAACTTTTGATTGAGAAGTCTAATCGAAAAAGTACGAATTGTTTTGGATTCTACGCCCCAAAATAATTAAGAAAAAGTGTTTTCCCGAGAAATTTTAGAGTGATTGATTTTTGGAAAAAAAAGGAAGGTTGTACACTGCCTTTTTTGGGGCCCCGAAAAAAAAATTGTCTCAGATCGACCGGAAAAAAACATTTTCTTATAGAATGTGGCCTGTAGAATCCATAATTTCAAACAGTTCCAAGATTGGGCTACTAGTTCAAAAGTTACAGCCTTTTGAATTTTCTTTCGAAATTGGTTTCTAGTCTATAACTTTTGATTGAGAAGTCTAATCGAAAAAGTACGAATTGTTTTGGATTCTACGCACCAAAATTAATAAGAAAAGTGTTTTCCCGAGAAATTTTGGTGTAGTCGATTTTTGGTAAAAAAGGAAGGTTATACACTGCCTTTTTTTGAGCCCCGAAAAAAAAATTGCCTCAGATCGACCCGGAAAAAAATTTTTCTTATAGAATGTGGCCTGTAGAATCCATAATTTCAAACAGTTCCAAGATTGGGCTACTAGTTCAAAAGTTACAGCCCTTTGAATTTTCTTTTGAAATTGATTTCTTTTCTACCCTATAACTTTTGATTGAGAAGTCTGATCGAAAAAGTACGAATTGTTTTGGATTCTACGCACCAAAATTAATAAGAAAAAGTGTTTTCCCGAGAAATTTTGGAGTGATCGATTTTTGGAAAAAAAGGAAGGTTGTACACTGCCTTTTTTGGGGCCCCGAAAAAAAAATTGTCTCAGATCGATCGGAAAAAAACATTTTCTTATAGAATGTGGCCTGTACAATCCACAATTTCAAACAGTTCCAAGATTGGGCTGCTAGTTCAAAAGTTACGGCCCTTTGAATTTTCTTTCGAAATTGGTTTCTAGTCTCTGTTGATTGAGAAGTCTAATCGAAAAAGTACGAATTTTTTTGGATTCTACGCCCCAAAATTAATAAGAAAAAGTGTTTTCCCGAGAGATTTTGGTGTAGTCGATTTTTGGTAAAAAAAGGAAGATTTATACACTGCCTTTTTTTGAGCCCCGAAAAAAAATTGTCTCAGATTGAACCGGAAAAAAATTTTCTTATAGAATGTGACCTGTAGATTCCATAATTTCAAACAGTTCCAAGATTGTGCTACTAGTTCAAAAGGGATCCCTGCGTAAATTGAATGGCGGTTTTCCCAGGGGCTAACCTTTCAGTTTCTTTTTATCTTGTAAGCCCTGGCTGTCGTCTGTATCAGTTTCTGAAAGATCTGTACCTTGTACTTGATCATACATTACCTATCCAGTCGCGCATGTCGTTCTTTAATTTTATAGGTTTTGGTATGTATTGGCGTACTTGTACAGAACACCTTGGGTTTTCATGGAGTGATAGGACTGTGATGATCGGTTGGGTAAGTATAAGTAGGTACCTAATGTTTGGGGCAAAGAGGGGATGTTTTATGTAAAGGTCCCGGGACAGGGTCTCTTTTAGTCGCCTTTTACGACATGCAGGGATTACCGTGGATCAATTCTATCTCCGATTCCACAGGGGAATTATTATTTTGAATTGTTTGGTCTAAATTAAACCGTTGATGTGTTTTATACTTACCTACTCAAATGATTTACTATGTTTTCCATTTAGATCTTGTTTTTATATAAATTGTTTAACCACATTTGACGCGATTTTCCTTGTACGATTTGAGATATGTAATTTTGTATTTCTGTTTGTATTTTGTTGCCGTAGTTGTGTGTGTTATGCCAGGGTTTTTCTTGCTGGTTCTTTTTTCCCCTGACTTTTCGGTTTGGATTTGTCTCGTGCGTAATAGATTTCATTTTTTCGATTCCCTTCGGACCCATAAAAACTCTTTTATTTAATTCCCTTGCCGATTGTGTCCAACACATTAGGACCGCCATAGTAACAAGATAACATAGGAGTTCCATTTGTACCACCCAAACCCAGCTGCTACCTCAATTTGAAAGTGGCGCGAACCGTCCGCCATTTTGACAACGGAACTGGAAGTCGTTCTGTACAGTACCTGGTCCCTTAATTGTGCAAGAATACCTATCAGACAAATTTCTTGGAAAAAGAGCGACAGGTAGTCTCAAACAATTAGGGGATTGTGCGCGAGAAACCAACCGTTTCCCACTTTTGTGTGTACTGCATATCATTGTATTCGTACTAAAAAATGCTCCTCAATACAGAGTGTACTTTTTTACGGGCCATATAAACAAGTTAAAAAGTAATCGTAAACGATTTACATAAAGCGCATTTCCACTTGCATTCATTTCCCATTTGTAAGATGCAATTTCTATAAAATCGTAAAAATCCGGCCACAAATATGAGATAGCGTTGCACATGGGCAATCCATTTTTGTCGTGCTACTTCAATGTCAGTTTATGAGAAGAATTTCATTTCAATGCTTTTCTAAATAAGAAAGTTGGAACTGCGCATGCGCAAACCTAAATTTTGAAACTAATGTTAGATTTTCCTTTGTTCCAAGCGCCTAAATATCAAATTTCACTTAAATGCTTCCATAGATAAAAAAAGTTGGCACTGCGCATGCGCAAAATAAAATTTTGAAACTGGCGCTAGATTTTCCTTTATTCCAAGTGCCTATGTATCAAATTTCATTTAAATGCTTCCATAAATAAAAAAGTTGACACTGCGCATGCGCAAAACCAAATTTTGAAATTGGCGTTAGATTTTCCTTTATTCCAAGTGCCTATGTATCAAATTTCGTTTAAATTCTTCCATAAATAAAAAAGTTGGCACTGCGCATGCGCAAAACCAAATTTTGAAATTGGCTTGATTTTCCTTTATTCCAAGTGCTATGTATCAAATTTCATTCAAATACTTTTATAAGTAAAAAAGTTTGCAATTCGGTTTATAAATGGTCGAGATGCGAAAAGGGCACTGTGAATTTTGAATCGATTCGATTCAACTTTTGGCGTTGCGTATTATATGGCTAAAGCTATGCCCATATTGAATTTCATGCAATTCAGTTCATAACTAACGGAGATGTAAAAGTGATCGAACATTTCTAAACAAAGTTATCGTTCACACGGACAGATAGACAAAGGAACAGACGGACAGACCAACAGGCAGACGACAGATAGCAATGCAAAATTATAAACGATCTCTAGGATCGTTAATAAACGGCAAAAGTGTAAAATTATGGAACATGTAAAAAACGGTTTTTTGTTTTTTTTACAATAACTTTTTTTGTAAGCGGTACAGAAAAAATTCCTTCCTTGGTACAAGACTCGACACCATAACGAACCAAATAGCGAAAAAAGTAGAACAATAGCTCTTAAGATAAAGAACTAGTAGCGTCGCAAAACGAGCGGACGGACGGACGGACAAAGTGGCCACAATAGCGCATTTTTTTTATTTTTGTGGAAATGCGCTAAAAAATAAAGTGGATGATGATTTCTCTGAAACGAAACGTTGTATTGAAAATCTCTCGACTTTGTCTTGTATAGGGCTGAAATATAGTGGTAAATAAGAAAGTGCTTTTTATTTTTTCGTTTGTTTTACAGCAGGTTGTAAGGATTTGTTCTATTTATAATAAATGTTATTCAGTTTTAATGAGCCCTTACAGAGGGAGTAAAAATTTTAATTTCAAAGATATGGTAGTTGCATATACTTTCCAAAACATATTGAAGTATCAAAATTTAAATTAATATTTTTCCAAATTTTGGTAACGAATTGCTAATGATTGATAAAATTATCAATGAATAAACAATCAATTGAATTCTGTCCTATTTGAAACCCGTTGTTACCAGAGCTAGTTAGTAAGTTAAAGTACGAAAAAATAGGGCCCCAAACATACTACAACATGAGAAGACTAGAAAATTCTGAGAAGAATTTCACCAATAGAACCACGAACCTGAAATGTATTTCCCACAATTGTAACTTCCGTTCCAATACGCCGTCCAGAAGTAAAATTTGACAGTTAAGTACATTAACATTATTAAATGCAAGGGACTTCGGACAAGCAGGTGGTTTTGTTCTCCCCGTTTCCTTGATAGCTGAAAATAATACACCTTTGAAATAACTTCAAGCAATAATGCAATTATTTAATACATGTAAAAAACAGGTTATAAATTAGTGAGACTTTAGATAAATAACAAAACAAACATAATAGTCGTGAACTGGGGAAATACAACACAGTGAAACTTCAGCCATCTACGCACATTTTACACTACATTTACAAAAACAATGATCCTTAAAATATAATCTATAAACCTAAAATCACATTTCTTAAATATCAAAATATCTATGTTGAACATAACATTTGTTTGTAAGCAGTAGATAGGTACCTAATAACAGAAGCCATACAGAAACTACTTACGATAGTGGTGCTAAGTGTATTTAAGTGGTAGTAATACCAACACTCTCTTTTTTATTACTCATATCATACATACTTGAGATTAATACCAAAAGCGGTGGAGCTTAAATTGACCAAAGGCAAAATTCGTACGTACTTGAAAATACGGTATTAAAATATAAAGTTTGAGACACAGTATCAGTCGTTTTATTATAAAGCCACAAGTTTTTCTTTTAAATTAACACCCTGTAAAAGCCTGAATTGCAAATTGATATATTATATGCGGAGCAATCTCACGAAAATATCACAAAAACCTCATTCGCACCGAATAAAACTTATAACGAAACATCACCATATTGTAGAGACCATTTTTCATAAGCGACTAGGCTTTGAGGAGAGACGCTTTTCCTAATACGCTTCAATGCGTCGAGGAAGTCGCTCATTGTAATTCCTCTAACTGAGCTCGGATCCATTTGTTTAACTTGTTCGGGATCCAATTCTGAAGATAACGATAATTTGATGAATAAAGACAAATAAAGAGAAATAATTTTCAGCTCTGAAAATCTGTTCTGATCGCAGGGGAAGGGTTTACCATTCAGTACCAAAATAGACAGTGAATTTTTTTAAAATGCGAACATAGGAGTTTGCATGCAATGTAATTTCCCTGTTTGAATTAAAAAAAAAACACATCAATCTATTGAGTAGTTCAAATGAGTAGTAGATAAAATTGACAGCTGTCACATTTTTAAAAATACCGCCGTCCAATTTAATTTCGAAAAATGTTAGTAGTCCAGTATGCAGATAATTTTGGGTCCAAATAACATGTATTTCAAGGGTGCACACAAATTTTTTCCCCCCACAACTTTTGGCAGCCAAAAAACCTCAAAATGTTTGGCATTTTTTCAGTTTTTCGCTTAAAACTTGAAAACGGCCCATATTTTATGAATAACACTTCTTTAGTAAATTAAAGAAAACAAAATTCTGTGTCGATAAAAAAAAACAAACAAAATCGGCCCAATAGAAAATTTTTTACAAGCGATAAAAAAACGCCCATTTTTTCCAACGAATTTCAAAAATTGGTCCAATTTCAAATTGTTGGTACTTTTTGAACTCGTTTCTTTAGGAGCCACAACGCATTAAAAAAAGGTTAACTCAGTATTTTAGAAAAGTTGGAAAAAAAGGGCGTTTTTTTGATCGCTTGTAAAAATTTTTCTATTGGACCTAGTGCTCTTCATCATGAAGACTATAGAAACCGTTGCGCAAGTCGAGCGTTTTACTGGTGGGAATGTGAACCGCGCACACCTCATCGATTGGTGCATATTTTTTTTAAATCAAACATAGGGAAATTACATTGCGTAGAAAAGCGTATGTTCGCATTTAAAAAAAACTCACTGTATATCATATCTATTATACCTACCTCGAATTGGTCCTAAAGCAGCATCCTTTGCCAAAGCGGTAAGATCACTACCAGAATAACCGTCGGTAAGTGTGGCCAGACGTTTCAATTCCTTTGGGCTTAAAGTACAGCCTTGTTTCGATAAAAGCTTTTTTAATAATTCACAGCGGGTGTCTGCATCAGGAAGGGTGACATAAACGCGCTTTGGAAAACGTCTGAGAGCGGCCTCATCCAACTCCTGGGGTCTGTTTGTAGCCGCCATAACGATAACCTAACAATAATAATCAACGCCAACCTTTCCATGGGAAGACTTACCTTTTCATTCTCTGGATTACTAGGTAACCCGTCGAACTCAACGAGAAACTCAGTCTTAAGTCTACGACTCGCTTCGTGTTCGTTGTTCGATCGTTCAGATAAAAGCGAGTCTACTTCATCAATAAAAATAATTGACGGTTGTAACTCGCGCGCCATAGCAAATAAAGCTCGTACAAGTTTTTCACCTTCGCCCACGTACTTTGAAGTTAAACTGGCGGCACTGATTGCGAAAAACGTAGCCTGACATTCGTTTGCAACCGCGCGCGCCAGCAACGTTTTACCATTCCCCGGAGGACCAAACAAAAGCAAACCTCTGGCTGGTGATCGCAATCCGGTAAAGAGCTCGGGTCGCAATGAAGGCAAAATCACCATTTCTTGTAGAGCCTGTTTGGCAATTTCTTGACCTACGATATCGTCCCATTGAACGGTAGCACCCCCTTCTACGATCTCATCCAAAATGTTTTGCGCTAGTTTCGGATCGACACCACGTAAAGTCGGTGACTTTTGTCTTATTGTTGACTTATTATTGGAGCTGGCTGAAATTTAAATGTAATAATTGGAATTATCCCCTTGGACCTAGCCCCCCTACTATACTTGGAGCCAATTTAAGAATTGTATCAAAATTATTGTATCAACCTGCAATTTATTTGGGGAGTCTACTTGTATTGAATTTACCTATTTCAAATTCAATTTTATGCATAAATTATGAACTATTTACTATTTTCAAGTTTCACTCTTCAAATCGCAAATAGCTATTGGACGTTGGGGCAATCTACTTGGATGTAGCTAATCTGTTTACCTTTTTTTCATGCACACCCCGAATCCTCAGGTAAATCGGACAGTTCCATACCTCTACGTCTTGCAGAGAAAAGAAACAGTTCATAAAATACTTAAAAACTTGTTTTTTCCGCAAAAAATTGTATTTCATACAGATCTGATAAAGTTACTACAGTCAATTGTTGAGAAAAGTTTAACGGGTGGCAATTTTGCAGTTTTAAAAATTATTTTTTTGCAGAGGTATGAAATTACCGGGCTTCGCCCTCATTAATCAAACAGCAAATTCTTGAAAAAAAACTATCACTATCAATTTTTGTAAATTTGGGTTTCGGGCAACACTGAAATTTACATATATACCGCTTCATAGTAAACATGAACGAAAGTATGTCGGGAGTCTCGAACGATAAAGGTGCATAAAACACAGGATGTTTTGAGTAGATAAGCACTAGCTCGACCGTGTTGCCAGTTCTAAAAACCGCTGCTACGGTGAGGTAGGGGGACTTTCGAGCGCATGGATGTCTATGATTAAAAAACAGAGAACCCATCGGCTTAACGGATGTACCGTTTCGGTTTTTCTAGCAAGTGAAATACAAATAGCCAACGCAACAGCAGAGCCGACATCTCAGCTTGATTTCGATAGCAAGCGCGTACCGGGTGACCCAATAATAATAATAATAATAATAATGTGTGAATTTTTATTTTATTTTTTATTTTTTTTTAGAACCCTACATAACTTCACCAGACACAGACACTAATCGTTACTTGATTTTAATCCGTGCGATTAGTTAACCAGGCTAGACCTGAGTTCTCACAAGAAACACCGACCATAATAATAATAATAATAATAATAATGCCCATCAATAGCTATGTTGGTAAGTATGAAATACATACTATCTCTAGATTTCCAATGTGAGGGTGTGAATTTTTATTTTATTTATTTATTTCTTTTATTTTTTTTTTAGGACCCTACATAACTTCACCAGACACAGACACTAATCGTTACTTGATTTTAATCCGTGCGATTAGTTAACCAGGCTAGACCTGAGTTCTCACAAGAAACACCGACAATAATAATAATAATGGATTTTATTGATTAGGAAAAAAAAATGGTTCCTACACCATAACCGTGAAAAAGAGCGTTCAGGGTCAGATAAACCAGTAGGTTACCTGTTCTTCCCCCTGTACCCCTAGACACATAAAGAATATATTTATACACATAGATTCTACGAAATAAAACAATTACCAGTTCAATTTTGATTGAAAACAAGCACAAATCTACTAAGTAACTACCTACCAACAAAGGAAAGAAAAACAAAAACAAAAAAACAAAACAATAATAAAATTATGTTAAATTTCGCTCCGATTAATAATTTTCCGTTTAAAGGCATCTTCGGACAGGGGCAATAACTGTCTGTACACCGAATTATTACAGAATTTGCAGATGTTAAATGAAAAAGAGCGTTGAAACATTGCTAGAGCGATGAAACATTGCAACAATAAGGCTGTTCCTCGCCCATATCTCGGGAACCTTTCATCGTATAACTTAGGGGTAAACAAAATTATTGGGTAAATCGGTAATGAAGAATCGCGAGAAAATGTTTTCAAGTTCTAAAAATGACCACCAGAGGGCGTAACTGCGATCTTAAATTTTAAAATTGCATTTTCTTAATAAACATAATAAACCAAACATTCTTTTTTCACATTTTTAAAGAGAACCAGTTTATCTATCATTTTCGTAAAAACAAAAACTCAGTTATTTCTAAAACAAAGATGGCGTGGGCGTTCAATTGTTTTAGCAATAACCTGCTTTAACTTCTTAACGGTTTGACCGATTGTAACAAATTTGGTATCGTTGAAAAGAGCATTCCTTGGGCAACATGAATCAATATAGTTAATTTAGTTGAATCCTTCTCCGCCAGGAGGCTAGTTTTAACACAATGATCCAAAATCCTAAAAAATCAAATGGAATGATGACTTTTTTATGCAAAAGTAGCCCAATAACATCCAAAGAGGCAAGTGAAAACTGTTTTTCAAAATCTCGTTCTTAACCCCAAATATTGGGAAAATCAGATTAATTAATAAAAATGCTTAAATTGTATCTTATTTGGCGTATTTCCGCTATTTGTCGATGGCGCGAAAGATTGTTTGGAAAAAGGCCCTACACTTTTAGGTAAGCCTTGGAAAATTAAACAAATGAAACACGATGCATTATAAAATAATAACAGTCGTAATTTGTAAATTATTCTGCTGTGTTTACATTCAGAAAGTGCTGTTTTTTTGAATTTGTAATCTGTTCTAAACCAAGAAGCATTTAATATGCTGGCAGGCGGCGATGGTTCGTGGTCGATTCGGATAACACAAATAGAATATGTTGTAGAGATGCCACCTGTACCGTTTTCACCCAGACGGTCCGGTTTTTTTAAAGTTTGTCCAGAGTCCGGTCACGCGAAAAATATGTAGGTAGGTGTAATTAAGTGCGGCGTTTCATTTTTGAAAATAAATCATAATAAAGTATGTTTATTCTATAGCAGATTTAAATTGACATTTTATTAGGTTTGAATCGGGTTTGAATGAGTAGACTGTCTCTCTTGAACGTGAACCGTAAGAGTAGATAAAGTGATCACTTTAACGGCAAGGGCACTGGGTAATGAAACAAATCATTGTGCAGTGCAATTCGTAATAGAAACGTCGGGCACGAAATAAAATGAAGTTCAGAACAAAATACAATATTGTTTCCATAGAAACGACGAGATAACCAAGGAAGGGAGAACCTAAACTTGCTATTTGGGACGTCTAAATTAAACATCTGGCTTCCGCTATAAAATAAAATGGGCAGCGATTTTGAAAATACTCAAAATATATCGCCAGCATACGCAACCCACTACACATTTACAAATATCCATGTCCGAACCGGGATTCGAACCAGGGATCCCTAGTACAGCAGTCGCACTTCCACGCCACAGCGCCAAGCGTTCACAAGAATAATTGTGCGGTGTGCCTTAAGGTCAAGTCCAGTCCTGGTCAGAAGTAATGTCCTCCCTCAGATACCTCAAAAAGTGCTAATAATTTCAATATTAGGGACTCAGAACTCACAGGAGATCCAGTATATTATGTGCTACACTTGAGATAATCGAGGGACATTACCTCTGTCCAAAACCGTACAGGTTAATACAAGTACAATATATAAAAACCTGATATCAAGAGCACATGGTTGACATGTACTGCGCCGCACACGCAGATACCCACAATTCGAGTAATAGCTAGTAGATGAGCAATGTATGTTCTGGACCAGGAAGTGACGTCACACCAATCAGAATCGAGTATTTCGGTCACGTGGTCACGTGTGAGCCAATGGGAGCGCGTGAGTCGGCCATTTTGTGACGTCACATTTTTACTGTTTTGCTTCCGGTGTTTCTGGACCAGGAAACGCGTCACACAAATCAGAATGCAGTATTTCGGTCTGCCATTTTGTGACGTCACATTTTGGGTTGGACCAGGAAACGCATCACATCAATCAGAATGCAGTATGGGGAGGTTGTTGTCGGCCATTTTGTCTACATCATATCTAGCATGTTTTCCCGCGTGTATTTATGGACCAGGAAACGCGTCATAGGCGGCGTCGAGGATTTGAACCATCAATACGCGAATTACGAATCTGCCGCTTTAGTCAATTAAGCTTATAATTAGGATGGGAAGTTGCAATCTCGCAATAGCATATATGATAAGACTTTTAAAGGTGTAATAACCATTTTATTTTAATGCATGTAATAAATAGGTACCTACATAATACAAAATGTAATGAATGTACAATTATAATGGAGTACATGAATGATATTATATTCCTAGCGGAGTGTGTTACATCGGATGCAATAGTTTGAAGAGTTTCAGGTATAAATAATAAAAAAAATTAGTATATTTATTATACAAATTGATCATATTTTTGTAACAAATTATTAAAAGCTTCATCATCCTCTTCTATTTCACTTTCATAATTTCCAATGCGAATTTAAATGTCCATCACAGCATAATGCACGTATTGCACATAATCCCTAGTAGGGTATTCATCATCTTCTAATAGTTCCAAATATTCCGTTACTCTTCGCAGTAAAAGCAAAAGTTCTTTTAAATATCGAAATCCGCATCTCTCATTACGTTCCATACTTGCAATTATTCGCATACGTTCCGCGTCTAAAAGGACCTTCGCGCTTTGTAATTTTATTAATTTACTTTCACAAGAATCTGGAATATTTATGTCAACACAATCTTCTTTGTTTGAAAATTTGCTCAATCCCACATTAGTTATACAATTTTCCGTAATACGTAATAAAGTTGAACCATTTAATGGCACATTAATTAAATCATGTAACTTACTCAATTTTTCTTCAAACGAAATGGCAGTTAAATTTTCCAATTCATTTACTAGGTCACTTTGCGCATTTTTTAAGGTTTGTACAAAATTATATTGCTTGCTTTGAAAGTACCAATAACGTTTCGATTGTTTGTCGTTTGATAGCAATACTCTATCTTAATTATAATGTAGAATGATTGTTATTACGTTTATAGCAACAGGAACGGTAAGATACATCTCCTAACAAAAAACCCTAATAAATATAATTTCAGCTTTTTTCACGATGTGGCACATGAGGCAGGGTATGGAATCAATTATTACATATCTCAGCTTCTCACTCTGCAGTAAGTTTTATCGCTTTCTATTTTTATCCTCAACATTAAGGTTATAATTTTCAGATCGAGAAGATTCGTAAGATCCGTAAGTGTTATCGCTGTAAATATAATGTATACAGATATCATTTTTTTTACAGATCTAAATAAATATAGTTAATTGTTTTGTTTTTTCCTCGCGCTCTGTTACTCTATACCTATAGCAGGTAGGGTTAGCTGCCGCTCATACGGGGGTATCTAACGCCACCCTCCACGCCCCTGCAATCACGTCAATACTTTAACTGCTAAGCGCTCAGTTGACTAAAGCGGTAGATTCGTAATTCATGTATGTATCGATGGTTCAAATCCTCGACGCCGCCTATGACGCGTTTCCTGGTCCAGAAATAAACGCGGGAAAACTAGATATGACGTAGACAAAATGGCCGACCGAAATACTGCATTCTGATTGGTGTGACGCGTTTCCTGGTCCAGAAACACCGGAAGCACTACAGCTAAAATGTGACGTCATGGCCGACTCACGCGCTCCCAATGGCTCACACGTGACCACGTGACCGAAATACTAGATTCTGATTGGTGTGACGTCACTTCCTGGTCCAGAACATACATTGCTCATCTACTATAGCTTAAATACCTAGACAACAAACGAATTGATTTTGGGCCAAATAACAAAAACAATTACAATTAAGATTAAATAATATAATTACAATATACTTGCATATGATTTTGACATACTTTCCTGTAACATGCTTTCAGGAAACGTGGAGCAAGAGCGCCGTAACAGGAAATAATCTCGTTGTTATCCCCCCCCCCTCCCCCGCCCTCAGGAAATTTGTTGTGCCTTAACCGTGATCGCGCTAGCTTTAATCCAAATGACAAAATATGTATAAAAAAAAATAGGGGTTTATTTGAGAAGAGATGCAGGAATAACACGATAGTACAAAGATAATGCTGAAACCCCAAAAGTTCTACGATATTATGTTACTGAGATCTCGTTCAATTTATAAAAGGCGCCCTAACAGCTGACAGTTAGTGAAACAATAAGCTCCTTTTTGAGAATCAAAAATGATCTAAAAATTCGCATATGTTGCACACTTAACTTACCTTGCGCATTATGTGATTCTGTTAAATGTGAACAAATGTATAATATTCCCTAAGTGTTCCGATGGGGATGCTCTGCTTTTACTACAAACCCTAGGGTCACTGGAGGTGTCCATTCTTAACGCATTTTCTGATGAATCTACACATGCGCAGGCTCTGCATCAGCGCCACCTTTTTTTTGTGAAATAAAGTTACCTGTTGAAACGCAATTGAGCACAAGCGCAGCATTAAATTGGCTACTAGTGGGATCTTTCACGTAATAAATTTAAATTAAAATAGGCAAATTCGAGTACTCGGCGCCTCCAAGAAAGTGACTTAAATAAACTCTCATCTGATTTGGACTAGTGAAAGGGGGTAGGTCTAACAAGGTATTAGAACGACTGTTTCCACAATTCTTACATGGTAAGCTACCTTTTCGAGCTGGCGAATTGTTACCAGGCACTGACAGCTGCTTCTTAATAGCCGGCGGCGTCGACGCCTGCTTGTTAAATGGACGTACTGGCTGTACAGGCGCGTTCCGTGAACCCATCGATCTCGGTAGCGTTTGACTCTTCGACACGTTCACACCAACCGGCCGTCTTGCCGCCACCGTCAATTTTTTACCAGTAGCTAAAAAGGACGGTATTAGACTTTTGCGTTTGTAAGACGTGCTTTAGTAAAAAATGACCAGTTACAAAGAGAACGATTTAGCTACCTGTAGAACAAATACTAGGTTTAACAATAGGAATGCTACTAGAATAACTAAGGTGCGGTTTTTGAAGAATTTTAGCCTCATTTTGTATAGCCATACGTTCCAAATTATCCAAACTCTCTAAAAAGAAATAAAACTGATAAAATTAGAAAAATAAAATAGCAACCGGTCGACATATTAACACAGAGACCAACCTAAGAATTGTAGGCGATCCTTTGCCATTGCCAAATTAGTTTTCATTTTGTCGTGCAGCCTTTGAGCTCTTTCCCAGACCTCTCCTCGTCCTCCCCAGCACTGCACTGCAATTCCCAACTCTAGCTCGTTGATGCCTTTACGATACAACTCAATCGCCAATTCTTTCTGGCCTTCATTTTCTTCGTCAATCTTGAGTGCCTTTGATATATATTCGAAAGCTCGCCGGTGATGATGTTTTTGCTTAGCTAACAGGGGATCTCCGGGACCCGGTCCGGTTAGCCTAGGCGTAATATTCGACATTTCTTGTACTTCTACGGTCTCACTTTGTTTATTATTCAAATCTGAGAATGTGGAATTACGACTTTTGAGTAGATAGCTCGAAGAACTGCAGTAAATAAATTTAAGGATGATGAATATTTGGTATAAAAGCGAGTGCAGTATATTAAACATGAAAATAATGGGAAAGGAGACAAAACACAGATTTCTTTTATGAACTGAAGTCTCTGAAGTGGAGGGAAATGTCAGGTGAGTACTTGGAACATCTGTGTCGTTTTTTCTGGATTTCTTATTTGGAGATTTATTACTTTGCGTTTTACGAACCATCCAAATACCATGACAACAAATTTATTAACAATTAAATCATTGTTAATGTTTTATACTATAAAAATTCAACACAACAAAGGGAATCAACAAAAATTCCAGTTTTCCCATTATATCAAAATTCCATATAACAAAACCATCCCAAACTGTCATGCTAAAGTAAAGATTACACTTTTATTTGTATTACCATATACAGGGTGCAACATATAAGTAAGCAGCACACTTTCAACTTGCATTTTGCCAGTATTACAAATTTTCGGAAAAAGCATTACAACTAATCGAGAGAAAACGATATGAGGTTATCAGGTGGCTTTCATTATAGCACTAATGTTATTACCAATAGTCCAATATCCGCAAATTTTAAATTGAAGACTAACATGCACCCTGGGACCTGCTATACCTGACCCATTGTCCCCAAAGCTTGTTTTTAACCTCTTGAGTCACCCCTCTAAGCCTACCATGCTACATTATTTGTTATTATAATTTTATATTAATTTGTCGGCTGGTTTTTTTTCTTGGTAAGTTCTTTTTTCTCCAGCCTATTTTCATTCGGCGAACTATATGATTTTCAGTTTATTCATACAATGTAATTTATTTCGACTTAAATTTTCGAGCTTTCACAATCTTCATCATACCTAACAATAATTATTTATTAAACAAACTTTTCACAATTTCAGTGTTTTATTTTATGTTGCTTCTCTATCGTACTCCAGGTCATAGTGTTGTTTGCAACTGACGTAAGGGAGCTCTGCCTTAGATGTATAATCACGTGCCACTTTTCCATTCCAAATTTAAGCGGGATCAGTTTAGTTTTGGAGAGAATAGTCATTCGGGTGGCCATTTTTAAACGTTTCCCGGGTTGACTTTATTTCCGTGTTTATGAAGTGTGAAGGACCGGAGGGTTAAGTACACTACAAAGTTGTCCTATTAATAAAGGTCACAGGCCATATCGCTATGGAATTAATTGCGCACCTTGAGAAGACATTTTATTAACAAAAGCGGCAAAGAGAAATCGATGGAAATTATTTTCAGGCTTCCAGGTTTGCCGCTAGAGGGCGTAAGATACATGGTTAAGCAGAAAATAGTTATTTTCCTAAAATATACCAAACGAACATGTATCGCAATCTTGTATGAATTTTACATCATATACCGTGGGTTACATGAAATCTTATTAGTAAATGTGACGAGTAGTAGAGAGCGTGGTTTGATATCTATAAATTTTACTTATTTTGTACCCAGTTTTGTTATAATCCCACTATTAATCTTCATTAAAATTATCAATAATTTTTTATGCAATATTTTTGCCATCATCATACATTTCAACCATGAAATGATACACAGTATGATACCATAGTTATTTCTTATCCATTATAAGAAATATTTGAAGAATAACGGTGAAAAAAGTTCAATAAGTAATAATATTTAATATCATTCAAAAGCAAAGCTGTACATTAAAAAAATACTGTAGACAATAATAATTATTATTAACACCATTTCTATATTTACACAACCATTTCATTCTTAAATAATGTATACGTACTTTATTCTAATTATTGAATGTATTGGATATTAGCATACTGTTTCTTTGTAAATTATAACATGCCTTCATTATTAACATACATCCAAAGCAAGTGCCGTACATATTAAATTAATTAGAATCACATTTTTATTCCTGTACATTAAGAACGTACTTAAATGTAATGATCAACATCATGTACTTAAGTACTAACTGAAACTTAAAAAAACAAACAAAAAACGTACTACGAGTATTTTAAAGGGAATACGGTAAGAAGTGCCCAGATCTAAAATATTGTGAAAGGTTAAAAAATAACACATGTGCGCATTTGCCATATTTAGACTCTATAAGGCTCAACAATAAAAAAAACTGGAATATTTTACAAGAAGAAAATATGCTATTACTCTAAGTCTATAAACAAAAGGGTTGCAGAACGATATAAAAAGTGTAAACTTTCACTTAGAACCCGAATAAAAACATAAAAAAATTCTTGCGACAAGTGCAAAGTTGTTGGCACTAAGCTTTCTAAGATGTAGGCATGATGACATAAGACTAGCACTTGTTTACATCGGGTGGGGTGACGAGGAATTCATCAGCTCGCTTGTGATCGTTAAGGGCTTTCATTGTATATACATCTTGAGGTAATTCCGATTTACGACGTACTATCTGCTTAATTACGTGGCCTCCCTTACGTACCTAGATTATTAGAAGAGAAAACCATTAAATAAGATACACAGATTTAAAGATCTCGTAATAAAAAAACAGAAGCAGTTGCATGTAACAGAAGTTTTGAGACATCACTTAGAAATTACCATTTTAAGTCTTGGTGACTTGGGTTCTTGTAGACATACAATACAATAGGGTGTTCTTAAATAAAGTGACAAAATAAAATCATGTAATGTTACAGATCAGACAATCGGGATGGGAGGTTAAGTGCAAGAGCAGCTTTCAGTTAATATTCGTATTAATCTGTAAATCAGTGGGGATTTACGATAATTCAACCGGTTTACCGGGTTGGTAGAAATCACCATAGAAACAATTGTCTCAATAATTGTAACCATAGCAAAATCTACCAACCCGGTTAAACCGGTTGAATTATCGTAAATCCCCAGTACTGTTGTGATGATAGTTTTTTTGTTAAAACCTGCTTGCTTTGTTTTTTTTTTTGTAAATGTGTTACCTCAACAGTCACAAGTACAATTGAAGTTTTTAATATAGTTAAATCTATTTTTTGTCTCAAACTTGTTACATACATTTACTGCTTTCCATTTGAGTGAAAGAGGAGCTGTAAGCTGTACCGTGCACGATGCCCTGTGTTCCTTTTAAGAAAGCTTCGAGCTCTGACGCGCCCGAATTTGGATTTCCCTTGTCCCCTCATGCACCACCTATTTGCTTGGGGCTTGTAACACTTCTGTGGTTATTTACGTACTGTGAATGTCAATGTGTTAAAAATGAACAACTTGCAAAATGAGCTGCTCCGAACGAACTGCACCAGAGCTTCACGCACTCAAATGGAAAGCAGTAATTATGACATTAATACTATGCGAGTCACAAAATTATTTAATCACATTTTCTACAGCAAAAATACAAATTTGTAGGAAGTACACATAAAGGGGACAAATGTGCCAAATTGCTAAACTTTGAGCTTTGTTATTAATTGTTATTAATAAGCATATTAACAATTGCATTGCTTTCTGTAGTAGTTGGTTTCAGCTACAGAATTCCTTCTCCTTGCTGTATATGTTTGGATTAGGTAACTGTGCATTTAACATGTGTGAATGTGTCCTTTGTTTTTATTGATGGCAATTTTACGCCAAGCTGTGTGTGCACTGATATAGTCGACTACTACCGCATCATTTATTATATAAGGAAGGCGTTACATAACAAGAAGGTCGGAGAGCAGCACTGGAAACATGAAATCTGATGTTTCAAAGCTATTGGGCACTATTGACATAGTAAAGGCTGGTACAAATACTCAGAGCTGGGCAGTATTCGATTTTGTAAATACTTTTTAGTATTCAAATCCTTTAAATTATTCAAATACTTTGTAATTAAATACTTTTATGGAAGCAGTATTTGTATTTGTAACTCAAATACTTTCACAAATATTTAGTATTCGAATACTTCGCAAAGTATTTGGATACTTCGTAAAGTATTCGAATACTTCTCATAGTATTTGAATACTTAACCTTCCTTTTTTACCAAAAATTGACTACACCAAAATTTCTCGGGAAAACACTTTTTCTTATTACTTTTGGGGCGTAGAATCCAAAACAATTCGTACTTTTTCGCTCAGACTTCTCAATCAAAAGTTATGGACTAGAAACCAATGTTGAAAAAAAATTCAAAGGGCTGCAACTTTTGAAATAGTAGCCAAATATTGGAACTGTTTGAAATTATGGATTCTACAGGCCACATTCTATAAGAAAAATTATTTCCGGGTCGATCTGAGACAATTTTTTTTCGGGGTTCAAAAAAAGGCAGTGTATAACCATCCTTTTTTACCAAAAATCGACTACACCAAAATTTCTCGGGAAAACACTTTTTCTTATTAATTTTGGTGCGTAGAATCCAAAACAATTCGTACTATTTCGCTCAGACTTCTCAATCAAAAGTTATGGACTAGAAAACAATGTCGAAAAAAATTCAAAGGGCTGTAATTTTTGAAATAGTAGCCCAATCTTGGAACTGTTTGAAATTATGGATTCTACAGGCCACATTCTATAAGAATTTCAGGACTACAATCAAGGCGTTTTTAACAGACGCGGCGGTATATAGTCACGATGAATTTGTAACTGCTGTTGGTGGGCTAAACAATTTTTTGTGATGTTTGTTTTATATGTTTTTTCTGTTTGTTCTGTTTATTTTAAAGATTAGTTATTTACAGACACATAAATATTTATTTACATGACATGTTAACAGATCTGAAAATGGTTTTATCATTAATTTGACAATTGTAAGTACTCATGTACACTAACAAAATATACCATTATTATTATTAGAAAATTTTTTTTCCGGGTCGATCTGAGACAATTTTTTCGGGCCTCAAAAAAAGGCAGTGTATAATGTTTAGGGAAAGTTTCCATTTTCACAAAATCAAATATAAAAATCCGATACAACTGAATACCGAACGATCCTGGAGTGAAACTTTTTGACTCTATAGTCTACGTAACTTAAAAACAATAGGGACCTTTCTTATATCCTTAAGACCATGTGTACCATTTTTCAAAGCGATCGCACGTTTCTAAACAATTAACAAACTATCATGCACACGGACAAACGGATGGTAAAAAATGGATCTGTTCCAAAATCGTTAGGATTAAATTCAGAAAGGCGTACATATCATGTGCACGACGTACGATCGCTTTGAAAACTGGTACACGTATTCTTAAGGATATAACTGGTATAAGAAAGGTCCTAGTAGGTACCTCCTATATAATAATAATAATACGCTTTTACTCCCCTTAAATTTGTATATAACAATAGAAATATAAAAAAAGCTAACAACATACAAAGTATAACTTGATTTTTTATCTAGTATACTATTTTAAATTTTTAATGTATTTGAGTGACAAGTATTTGAATACTTTTTACTGTTTTCGAATACTTTTCAAAGTAAGTTAATGAAATACTTTTCAAAGTATTCGAATACCTTCGATAGTATTAGAATACTTTTGAAAGTATTCGAATACATTCTAAAGTATTTGAATACTTATTTTTTAAAGTATTTGAATACTTTTCAATTTATCTGTATCTAGTATTCGCTTGTGCTGGACGTAAAAGTATTTAGTATTCAAATACTTTTTGAAAGTATTCTGCCCAGCTCTGCAAATACTCATATCAACTGAGGGACGCATTTGTTGAAATTTTGCAGTTAGACCTTCCTGATAGAATCACATAAAATGCGCTTGATGCGCCGTTCATTGTAATTCAAAAGGATGAAGCCACCTTTCTCATATAATACAATGCTTAATACTACAATGTAACATGTTATTTAAACAATAAATAATTTATTGCAACAATAACAGTGCTAGCAAGTTGCAAGAATCGATGGCCATTCTCAGATAAAAATATTAAATATGTAGTGAAGCGTCAAAATGTTACTACAATTGTTTTTTCTATAGAATAGTCACACAGAGATGGAAATATGTAGGAACATAGCAAGGGGACAGCAAAAACACATAATAATGTAACTTACCTTCTTTCCCACAGCTCTGTGTGCTACAACAAATTCATCTTTACTATCTTTTTTTGATAAAATTCATAGGGCCACACATACTTAATATCATATCTGAAAACAGGCCCTAAATTTGATCAATAAAAAGAATAACAAAATACATGCGAAATGCGAACAAATACAAAAAAGAAACGAACCTCCTGAGTCTCCTTTTCTAAAATTTCTAACGTAAGATCTTCGTCTTGTTCTGGACTGTTTGACAAATTAACCATGCTTAAATTTTGAGCCAAAATTATATCATAGCCAGGATTCTGCGTCGCCATATTTTCGACACGATTCCATAACTCGTCACGTTGATGCTGTCGCTCTCGTTCCCTACACACAACATTTATTTAATCTTTTCAAATCTGTCGCATGTCCCTAAAGTAATCATTTTGCACCAATTTATTAGTCTAGAAGAAGAATTATTATAAATAAACGACATCTACAAATACTCTGTCTCATTTATTACTAACAATTTTTATAAGTTCAGAAAAGAACGCACAATTGATGGGGAAAAAGTTACTTCAGAGACACAAGTTATTATTGTTCAACGTACTTTTGTCTTTCTTGTTTGTATTGCTGCGTGCATTCGTCAAATAGCTTCTGATTCATCTCCATGAATAATTTGAGAGCATTATAAATCAGTCCGTGAATTGTTTTATTCCAATGACTCTTTGAGTTACGATATAAACTTGGAAACATCATAGGTAAAATTTCGGTCGCATTTTCGGCAACCAAAGACATCACATACTCGTTATTCCAGTAATATAATGCTCGCTCTGCAACTTGAAAATGAGGAGAGCTTACGCATTTTGCCAACTGTTTAAATAGAGGATCCATTACTTTCTGAAATTCGGCCGGCTCTATTACGTCCAAAATTTCTTCTAACTCATTGAGAAACATTACTTCCTTTGGACTGTGTGTTTTTGGCCAGTACTTTAGAAGGCTGCGTATAACCGGTTGCGTAAGTGAAGGGTCCTTTTCCAGAAATTGAACTACACAATACGCCAACTGAGGGTGATATACCGAAAGCGATTTAACTTTATGTAACGGCATTAAAACGCGAAGCAAAAACACTTTGTGCTCTTCTTTTAGTGGTAGCGCGAAACCGTTAATAATTGAACCTAAAATTTCTAATAATTCGGCAATACCGTTATGGTGTTCAGTTTCGTATATAAACCTATAAAATACGTTATTAATTTGTTTACGTATAAAAGCTCGTAACCCTAAAAATTTTCCGTAAATTCTATGTAACGTCGTTTTTAATAAATCACGTTCGCGCGGATCTTCCGAATCGAATAGTTCCAACAAACTTAACACAAATTTTTGATCTATGTAATGTTTCGCTATATTAGGTTGGAAATCGGACGCTTCTAGTACACGTAAAAATAATTCGTAAACTAACTGAAGGTGGGGCCACGCAGCTTCCAAAGTCGGTTCATCTTCTTCCGGATCAAATTCTGCTCCATTTGGATTCGAGGATGGCGGCAACGTACGAAATAGATTTACTGCAAACTAATTGTACGTCGTTAATGTGAAATGCGTCCGAAGAGGTACTAACCATATTAACTGTTTCGGGATATATAGCCTCTGAAAGTACACCTTTGTTCTGCGTGACAAATTCTACCATTTCGTGCAGTGCCGTACGTTTCACTTCTTTCCACTTTAAATCTGATAGTGGATCGGTTGCAAAATCGAATAAAACGCAGCACTGTCTTAATTTTTGAATGAATAGCTCTTCTCTTTCGGCCGGTGGTGTATCTGCAAAAAGATTCCATTTTCATTAGCACAAAAACGTTATTTCCCAAAAAAATACATTCAAATGAGATGGTGAATATTTGAAGATTTCTAACAAAAGTCAGACCTTGTGGGGGCTAGGGCGCCAGACTTACAAACGCAAGGACTCAGGTTCGATTTCCGATCCTGCCAGAAGTACCTATACCGCCTCTAGTATAAAAACAATCGAAGGTAGCCGCCCACTACGAAATGTATGCCTTTTTTTCCCATGGGCTAGAAAAAGATGGAAATATAATAGCATAATTTGTGTACACCTCACAGGCGACCAATTTTGCAGTGGGCGGCGATAATTAAAGCGACTGTTTTTATACTAGAAGAGCAATAGTAGGCTAGATTCACCAATACACTTCACTTCAACCATACATCGAAATGTGGAAAACTTGAGATATAAAGCAAAGAAAAAATTACTTAGGTTGCTTAAGGGGTGAAATGAACCTGTCCCTTGGAAACGTAATTCATGTTGCAAGGGGCAAGTGACATTTTCAAAATTTGACCCTAAAAACGACGTCAAGGTCAATTTCATGAAGCGTTCCGCAACCGATCCACATGCCCTGGACATAGTGGTGAGGTCCCATGTCTTTACTACAGTTTCCGCGTGCGGGAGCATTGAACAAAACAAAATTAATACTGGCTCTGCTACAAACAATAATGTTCACGATCTAATGAGAAGAAGAATTCCATTAGTTGAATATTCCAATTATTTAGTAGCGAATATTGCATCTCGATAGATACAGAGGCGCCATGAAAGATTAATCATCGGCGATAAAGAACGAAGGGGGGATGTGACGCAATCTTTCTGGGAAATATGACGTATTTTGTTCGTGTTTCATAAAAAAATCTTTTAAACTGGTAGTGGACGGACAAAGTGCCGACAATAACGTTCATTTTCCAAGGAAAATGCTCCAAAAAGAATCAATCATGAGAAGTGCTATATCTCCCCACGAACGTCTAACTGTCACACTTAGTTTCATTATAATTTCCCCTCAAAGATCAAATCATTCGTTGTGTTCTCTACGAAATCCACCTCGCAGTGTATTTATTTTTGTTTTTACTGTTGCTGCCGAATATAGTTGTGAATAAGATGAATAAGTTCCTGTATGGACTTACGCCTCTAACTTGTTTGAGGCACAATAAAAATGATTGTTGTTGTTTTATATATCGCTAATTGTACTAATAAAACGCCTATTAAATATTCATTCACAGTAGGTGTAACGCCACCATCTGTAAGTAAGTTGGCTATTCCTTAATATTGTATTGTAGTATACACATGTCATACGTGTATTGCGTGTTGACTACTTTCCAATTTGAATTTTTGATGCAACATGGCGGCTGAGCTCCTACTGTCGCCACTGTCTCTATAAAGTCAGTATATTAAACCAAAGATCAGTGTAGTATGATATTTAATTAAACTTAGCAAGGAAATCTACCTTGAGCGTATGGCGTCATCTGTAACACAAAAGCTGAACTAAACCACACATTGTATACAAGGAATGAGCAAATCTTCAATATTACTGCACGGAATTACATAGTTTTTGTTTTAAATGAAGTCTAATGATGGCTAGACGATAATAAGGCTAATTGGGGAACCCATAAGTAATATCAACAATTTTTTTTCATAATAACCAAAATATAAAGTAATTTTAATTGGTGAAATTTTAACAATTTTGATTTTAGTGAGTAATGCCCCAAATAGATCGAAAATTAGCTTATTATCTTCTACAGATTTTCCTTTTTAAAACTGTATCTCATTTATTAAGTTGAGTTCAGGTTTAGGGGGGCACAACTTTGAATGTCTGGTGTACACCCCTCTTGAATTAATTAGAATTAGTGTGAATTAACATTAATTTACATGAATTATTTTAAATTAACATGAATTAATTTGAATTAACATTACTTTACGTGAATTATTTTGAATTAACGCGAATTAATTTGAATTAGCGTGAATTAAATTGAAATTACATGGACTATTTTGAATTTTTGAAAGTTGGTTAAATGGGGGCAAAGTTGCCAATTTTCGTGCTGAGTAAGAATCTGAAAAGAAATTTGAAATATCTTCAATAGTTTTGAAGATATCGCAAAAAAACGAAAATTTCTGATTTTCGTTTTTAATTTTTTATGATAAACTAATCGTAGTAGATATTTCTAATTAACACATTAATCGGACACTTTTTTAATGGAGATTTCAAATATGGCATCCTGTTTTTAATAACTTTCGAGATGACGGAGAAACACGTGGAAACTTTAGTTTTTCTTATGGGCGCCATTTTGAATTTTCACATTTTGAGATTACGTCTTTTTTTCTCTTTACAACAATATATCACACATGGTGGTTCAGTATCACATTTTTCCTAAAAATACAATTTTTAATTTTTTGAGAAGAGTGCTTTGGAAAAAGAAAACGTTCATTTGTTGTGAACAAATGTTTGACAGTTTGATCCATCTGTCTGGTTGCAGTGTTGTCAGAGAAGTAGAAATTCGATTTTCATCTGAACAGAATTGAACCTTCGTTATGCAAGAAAATTATAATTAAAATTAGAACAAAATACATCACGTGTTCAAATTGCCCACCTCCTAATTCTGAGCACAGTGCCACTCTCTTCCTAAGATTTGCTATGGCTCTTGACACATCCCTTCTTCTAATCTTGCGCCTGAGAGTGCTCACAATTCTATAACGAAGTTCATCAAGGTCGGCTGGCAATGTTTTGTAAATTTCATTTTCATTGTTCCCCACAAAAAAATAGTCCAAGGGAGACAGGTCAGGTGACCGCGCCGACCAGCGTACGTCGCCATTATTAGCAATAACATGATTGGGGAACAATTCCGATAAGCATTCCCCAACCCTCCTAGCATTATGGGGCAGTGCCGGTGCGCCATCTTGCTGGAACCATATCGAGTTCAAACGATGAAGAGGAACGTTATTGTCAATAAAATCGGTTAGAAATGTCCTCAGGAAATGGAGGTACCGATCGGCATTTAGAGTCTCTTAAGGATCAATTATTGTATCGCCCAATAAACCGACCCATACGTTAACGCTAAAACGTATTTGTGGTCGTCGTTCTTGAAATTGATGAGAATTTTCAATTGACCAGTAATGTTCATTGTCAAAATTTCAACATTTTTTCCGCTTGCAAAATTGCCTGCTCCTATTCATTGGGTCTATCACCGTATTACTGTCTACATCTTTTAAAAGAACCATATTCGCCCAAGTTTTTATACAGCAAAGAAAAATACCTCAAACTAGATTGTTGCCGCTCTGGATAACGCTGGAAGTATGTTGCAGCAGCCATGTGGGCATTTCGATGAGAAGTGTAGTAAATTTGAATCATATCTGTTTGATCTGCACTTGAAAAAGGCATTTTCGCATACAACTAGCATAAACCTAGTAAATGGCACTACATGAAAAAGTCAACCTTTTGTTCACAACAAAAGAACGTTTTCTTTTTCCAAAGCACTCTTCTCAAATAATTAAAAATTGTATTTTTAGGACAAATGTGATACTGAACCACCATGTGTGATATATCGTTGTAAAGAGAAAAAAAGACGTAATCTCAAAATGTGAAAATTCAAAATGGCGCCCATAAGAAAAACTAAAGTTTCCACGTGTTTCTCCGTCATCTTGAAAGTTATTAAAAACAGGATGTCATATTTGCAATCTCCATTAAAAAGTGTCAGAATAATGTGTTAATTAAAAATGTCTACTACGATTAGTTTATCATAAAAAAATCAGAAATTTTCGTTTTTTTGCGATATCTTCAAAACTATTGAAGATATTTCAAATTTCTTTTCAGATTCTTATTCGGCACGAAAATTGGCAACTTTGCCCCCATTTAATCAACCTTCTATCTCTTAAGATAAGTGAGATCCCCATAGTAGCACGCGAAAAATGGACACCGTGTATAGAGCTTTATAGGCAGTGGCGGCTCGTGAGTTCTAAAGGGCGGACACAAGTAAAATCTTCCTTACTATTTCTTGTACATAGAATGTATTCTTCTTTTTTTGAAGTCGGAAAAGACGTTAATGTCTTTGTTATCAACATTCGGGAAAGACTGGACATACTTCTTTCCTACTGGTAGAACCGCTTAAGTGCTGCCCCTGTGAATAGATAGAGATAGGACCGCCAATGCGTTCAGTCCTGTGCTACAAGTAAAAATTAAGAAGACAAAAGCTTGCATTGGCAGTGGCGTAATAAAATAAACTGGCATCCCTGACCCCCCGACAATTCAACAGCAGTTTCAAAATCATACATTATACATAGGTACATAATTAAATAAAACAGATTAACCAAAAAATTATTCTTTATTAGGTAATACACATACTACTTTTTAAAGCTCTTTTGGCACCCCATAGCTAATTCCCACATAATTCAAGCTAGAATGAGAATTACCAACTCTGGCTATGCATGTAATATACATATAAGAGTGGTAAATTTTTAATAGAATGGGCGGGCACATATGAATTGATTAAATTACGCTGTTGTTAATGTTCAGGAGGTTCCCCATATAAAACAACTGGTCCAGTATTTATGTCGTACAGTGAGCCAAGGTAGCTCAGGCACTAGTTATCATTATTGCGTTGCAAGTTTTCCGTTTTTGTAGAGCTTCGCAAAAGAATTGGAAAACTCTGAAAAAAGCAGAGACAAAATTTCAAACGGCGCCTAACACGCTATGGCGGTGGCAAGATTTTTAATTTTTAAATGTATTTTAGCCTCCTCTGCCAATCCCAGGGTTTAGATTTCCGAGATGATGTTAGGATGTGGCAGCTCTTTCCAATTCCCAATGAAATATGTAATTAAGTAATAGAAAATAACTTGTATGTCCCTTCTATGCCCACACCAATTTTATATGCGTGAACATTTTTTTGTTTTTTAGTTGGAACTGCATACAACCTATGGGTAGATTCATACTTTTGCATATCATAAGTATGGAAAATGCATATTTAAGATATATGACAAGAACAATTTTTTCCCACGACTATAAAGTTATCGAATAAATATCAAGCGCCAATGTCACTTTTTGCAACAAAATCATTCCAGTTATGGGTACGAAAATGCCTATTAACATTAGATGAAAAAATTGAATGTAATCAATTTAATAGCCGCACAAGGCTAATAATAAACTAAATGGTTAGTCGTTAGTCATGTGATAAAATAGATAAACTGTTTATAATTAGGTTTCCCTCTGCTATTTCACATGTTTACTTGCAGCGAGTGACGTTCTAATTATTTTTGTTTATAGTAATTTTGCTTGTGCAATGCGAATTTGGCTTATTTGCCAATGACGTTCAAATTACTACCATCTAATTTATTACAAGGATAAAAAAACAATCACCTGATAATAACTTTAAAGATGGTAAAAACTTTGCTCCATTTAACTCCGATTTAGTTTCGTTGTTACGATAGAGATGGGATTTAATAACGAAATTGTCTAATTTAAAGTCGACGTTTTCGATGTAAGTTGAAGTTTGTGCGTTGAGCGAGTCAACACTTGCCGATGCCATTAGGTCTAATCCGGAGTGGAACGAGGGCGATTTAGGTATTCCCATCGGTGAAGTGTCACGACAACCCATCACATAACTTTGCCCGAATGTAGAATGCACCATATTTCTAATTGTTGAATAGTTCAAGTAATGACGGACGCGAATTTAAAATAAAAACAACTACAGGAGGTTACCATGGCACTTATTTTTTAAGGATAGAAATAAAAATAAGGAATGGCAAAAATTATGGATTAATCTATGAATTGAAAAGAGCGCGAACGCATGCGCCACCTGTTAGTAACCAATACAATAAAGTCAGTTTTACACAGGGTGCTCACCTTTCAATGGGGGTAACATTTCCAATTCACGATTTTTTGTGATGTTGAAGCGCGAACTTGAGTGCCTTTTATCCTTTTTGATGAGGGGGCCTTGAACGGTACCGGTTGTAAGTTTTGTTTTGTTGAGTAGCGTAGGCGGCGGAGGACCCCCCAGTGAGTTACCCTTATGCTGAAATATCATAAAAGTGTAATTAGTTCCCTATTAACGTTGCAATAATCATTGATACCGATTCATTACGTTTACGGCGTCGAAAAAAACCGCCTAAAGCCATCACGTCAGCTTACATAATTATGTATTGCCAATTTGATATCAACAACCCAACTTAAAAATTTAAAGTCAAACACTTTAATTAACAAATAATATCGACAAATTAAGACCAATTAAAATTGTAACTTTTGCACATTAGACGCATTGTGAAAGAATAATCAAGGCGCAAAAATTTAGTAAAGTGTGCAGAATAAATAGAAACTAAAATAAAATTAAACCAGTGGCGGAGGTAGGGTAGGTCTGGAATTATAATTAAACACGAGATTAAATACGTAGGCGAGCGGTGAAAATTCTATCGATAAGACGCCAAATTTGAAGGAACACAATGTCCTTCAATAATGAAAAGCAAAACAAGCACTTAAGTGAAAACAAAAACACTAACACAACTTAAGTACACTAAAACTACATTAGCCCAACACTGCAAGCATGTAGTTGGCTGGGTGACAAGCGCCTTTGCCATAGCAATAAAAATAGTTTTTCAAATAAATCGCGACGCCGATTTTGCTGTTATAGAGTAGCAAAACGTGAAAATAATAAAAAGACATTTTATTTACCTCAACATCATTATCACCAGCACCATTGCGATTCTTTTCGTTTTTGTTTTTAGCATCCTGCAAAAAAATGAATCTTCAATGAAGTTGCGCGAGCACACTAACCTAATTGACAAGGAACTCGTCAAATCGGTAATTTCGGAATATACTAACCATTCTCTTACTTTCTTACACACTCGTACAGGAATGTTTAAATTAACGACTAAACTCTAACTTTACTGTAAACAAACTAAGAAAACATGAATAGCCACGGCGTCAAGATGTTGACATATCGAGTTGTTCAATCATTGACCGTAATTTATTGATGGCGAACTTAAACCTATGTATTAAAAACGTTTTACTCTCGCGCGCCTATATTGTTTAATGTAAATAATACTAAATAACTCAATTATTAGAAAGAATATTAGGGGTTAAAATACACATTAACACAGACAGGCACCCACTAATATTTAATTGGATAAATCCAGTCACGTGTTGGGGTTATGCAACACATTAATGAACGGTTTACACTTTTTCAAAATGTGGAAGCTCGGGTGATATTAGTGACATGTTAAGACAGATCCCATGTCACAATTATGTAAAAAGCGGTTAAACATTTAGAAATGCGTGTAAAGTAGAAAATGCAATTCGAAATTCGCCCTTGAGGTCAAAAAAATTCATTTCACACTCAAACAAAACAATTCTTTGGAATTTTTTGGAAGATGTGACCAAAAATTCACTTAACGGCCCCACAAGAAAGGTTCCAAATTGTAATTCCGTATAATAGATGGCGTTAGGGGCGAAATCCGCCGCTGGGTTAAAAAAATCATTATTTAACACTTAGGAAGAATCTATAATATTTTCAAAGATGTCTTAAAGGGCGAAATACCCCCTCATACCAGACAAGTCAATTTAACTCTCGCAGCAAACAGGTTGGACATTCCACTTTCTCTTAGACGGCGCGTTAAAGGGCGAAATCTACTCTTAAGGTAAAAAAAATTCATTTAACGCCCGCACAAAAAAGGCTTCAAAATCTAAATTCTTTTAGAAGATATCCGTTTAGTGGCAAAATCCGCCCTTGAGGTCTAAAAAACACAAAATAAAGCACGCACGGAAAGTTTTAAATGCGAATTCCACTTGGAAGCGAAATTCGCCCAAAAAATGTTTCAATTTCTAATTAAATTCTGTTTAGATGATATCTAAAAATCCGCCCTCGATGTGTAAAAAAAGGCATTTAACGCCCGCACAAAATAAGTTTCAAATTCTAATTCCTTATGCGGTTCTGAATTTCTTTTAGGGAAATAGGTAGCCTATACCTACCTTGAAGGTGTACCAGACGGCCATCAAATGTTGTCGTCTTAAGCCCCCCCCCCCACGATTAATTATTCCATGAGATACTGTTTTGAACACATGCATAACTTTTACATGCGGCAACCAATTGATCTCAGGGTTGGCATACGCATGTCGCATAGCCTTTGGGTGCCAAGTAAAACTTTTGAAAAGCGATGAGGGGGGGGGGGTTAACACACGTTATACGGGTTATACCATTCATGGTATTCTAAATGAAAGGTCCCACCAAAATGAATTGGTTTGTACCTCAGAGTAAGAAATAAATACTCTTTGGTTTGTACAAACTATAGCTTTCCTGCGCGACTCCTTTTCGAGATCAGTGTCCGACGAGGAGGGTACTCAACGGGCGGAAAGATCTAATGCGCTTTATCTGCACAAGATGTAATTGTAATTCTACACATCTACCTACTGGGAATTCGAAGGACCTGCCTAGGTATATTTACAAATGTGGCAACTTATCGATCTTTTTGGGAATTTACAAATCGTTTATGCTAAACCGGAAATATTTCGTAAAAGTATGAAAAGAACCACCCAAACCAGAGGTTTTTAAAACTTTTCCAGGTAATTAGGCTAGTCAAAATAGGTTGTTAAGGTAGAAAAAATTAGTAACAAAGTGATCTCTGCGGAAATGAGTACCCAATAGGGTCCTTATTAACCCCTCAAAAATCGCACTTTGTCGCATTGGTGGAACTTGGAAAAAAATGACCGCCATCTTGATTTTTTTCGAATTTATTAAATATTTCGTAAAGTATACATTATATCAAAAAAATTCAAGAGGCTTTTCTTATGGAGAATCAAAAGTTACCTATAATAAAAAGTTTAAGTCTATTGATTAAAAAACAAAAAAGTTATTGAAATTTATATGATTTGGGTAAGTATCACATCTGTGTCGAGATTTAGAAGTATTTCAAGAACTTAATGCAGATGTAGCAGTTTTAATTAAATCAGGACTTAAAATTATTTTAAATCTGTAGGTACCGGTGTCCAAAGAAGATTCATGATTTAATGTAGCAGGTAAGTAGAGAGAGGCAAATAATTGAATGTTTTTATTTTCTTTAGGTTATCGGCTCACTAGAGTCGTTTATATATTTTAGCAAGGTCTGATGATGAAGTGAGCTTCGAAATCGATAACCTAAAGAAAACAAAAACATTCAATTATTTGCGTCCCTCTACTTACCTGCTACATTAAATATATCCAAATAATTCACATGGAGCAATACATAAAAAAAAAAAAGATTCATGATATAATGTGCTGTTTGGCAGCTTCTTCGGTTGGTGGTAGTGAGGCTAAACACAATTCAGAATTTAAGCTTTGCCTTGAAGTCATTCGCATCATAGGGATTTAAATGTAAAATTCATAACATGCGATTATTGGCTCCCCAAATTATTTTAGAGCAAAAATGTATTAAGCTTTTTTGTAGAAAACATTTTTTTACGCCAATCAACCGTATTAGATTTCAATTTTTTTCATATAAAGACGGAAAATTGGAAAAATAAAATCCATAATCTGCGATGCCATGGAATTTCCTAAAACAAAAAGATATCCAGTTATCAATTAGCAGCAGATCGAAATGGATTTTATGATCGACTTGGTTACTGTATTGCAGTTAATGGTGACTTATTCGAACATTTATTGTAAATTATTATATTAGGAAACCGTTATTAGTAATTTGGTCTTTCTTTATATTGAATTCGCTGTTCTAAATATAATACTTTTTGATAGAATTTGATTTGTTTTATAGCAGACATTCCATGGCATGACGGATATATTGGCGTACTTTTTCTATTATAAAATTCCATGGCATCACAGATTATTGAAAAAGATGGGGGTTTTAATTTTCCAATTTTCCGTCTTTATTATGCAAAAAATTGAAAACTAAAACGGTTGATAGACGTAAAAAATTTTTTTCTACAAAAAACCTTAATACATTTTTGCTCTAAAATAATTTGGGGAGCCAATAATCGCATATATGTTATGAATTTTACATTGAAATCCCTATGATGCGTTACGCAAGTCACCACCCTGTATAGTGTGTGACGTAACTGGTTCATATCATGAATCTTCTTTGGACACCGGTACAGATTTAAAATAATTTTAAGTCTCGACACAGATGTGATAATTACCCAAATCATATAAATTTCAATTCAATTCAATTTTTAGTTTTTTCATCAATAGAATTAAACTTTTTTATTATAGGTAACTTTTGATTCTCCATAAAAAAAGAGTATTGAGTTTTTTTGATATAATGTATACTTTACGAAATATTTAATACATTCGAAAAAAATCAAGATGGCGGCCATTTTTTTCCAAGTTCCACCAATGCGACAAAGTGCGATTTTTGAGGGGTTAATAAGGACCCTATTGAGTACTCATTTTCGTAGAGATCACTTTGTTACTAATTTTTTCTACCTCACTTGTATAAACCTGCCTAGATTGACCAGCCTAAATTGGGAGATTGGAACTTCCACTGGTTTGTGGTGACATACCCCTACGGTTAGGCAATACACCTTACATCTGGTATTTTAAACAATGATGACAGTACCTATGGAAAAATACAAAACGCTCTGCTCTGTGTATATAACAATAGTGAGGTATTCGACTTTGACCATTCTGCGCAGAGGCCATGAAAAAATGCGAATTCACTTTAATTGCTATACATAATATAAGCATTAAATTTATAGTGTCTTATATAATAGGTAAAATAGATTGTCCTAATATTCTCTCCAAAATTACACCTTCGGAGCACACACACACGTTTCGTTTAATTGTAATGAAATATGTAACTATAGGCACTAGCATGTTTATTTCAATAAATACATTTTTAACATAAATATATTAAATCTTCTATTATTTGTTATTTTGGTTTTGTTTCAAATTCAACGGCCACAAGCGGTTCCAATGCGCCCTTATACTGTTTTATTAAGTATTTATTTATGTATTAATGTTTTTCGCGGACAGAACTCAATAAGTTTTCTTTTCCATGGAAAAATGGTTTTCCTAATGCTGATTGGTTAGTTTATAAACCGCGACTGACTTTCATTGGCTTAATTTTTAAAAAAAAAGTCAAAGGAAACGTCAAACCAGCGTCAAACTAACCAATTATTGAATAATTACATAACAGTCTTTTATCAAATAAACAGCTTCAATATTTTAATAAAAGATCGCTACAAATTACAATTCTTGATCTATTGCTGTAGCAAAAGGTAATAAAGCTACTAACCGGTTACATCAAATATGGCAAAACCGTCAACCATCAAAGATGCAATCAAAAAATGGGAAGAAAAATTTCCCGGTGCAGATATTTCTCAAGCCGAAGATGTAGGTTTTCAATTCCAGTGGCTGCCAATAGAAAAAATGGATAATTCATTAGCAGCGTTGACAAATGTGAAGTAAGTCCGTCGATATAATTATAGTCTGTTATCATTTTATTACAATTAAAGGAAGTTAAGTTTGTCCACAAACTGCATTGAAAAAATTACGGGATTGAACGGATTAAAAAATTTACGGATTCTCTCTGTGGCAAGAAACTACATCAAAGCATTTACAGGATTGGTAAAACTTATTTAAACAACATATGTATACCATGACAAAATTAGGAAGCCGTAGCAGATACATTGGAGGAGTTATGGATTTCGTATAATTTAATTGAAAAAACCAAAGGTATAGGTGCTTTGAAAAAGCTAAAAGTGCTCTACATGAGTAACAACTTGGTGAAAGAATGGAGCCAATTTAATTTACTTCAGGAATGTCCTGCATTGGAAGACCTTCTCTTTGTAGGTGAGTATTTGCCAACATTATAGCAAAGGCAATTCTTCTTACCAGGGAATCCCCTTTATGAAAACTTGGATGAAGCTGTATGGAGGGCGGAAGCCAGCAAACGAATCTCTACATTAAAAAAATTGGATGGTGAAACAATCTTGCGAGAAGATGCAGAGGAAGAAGAAGATTAATCTAAATTTGTTTATTTATTAAACATCTTCAGTAATTTTCAGTTTTCATGTCATTTAGTCCCAACTCTTCGTTTTGGTCAAAGTTTCGCTCATATTTAGTAATTCTCAAACAGTCATCTTCTCCAACATCAGATAAGCTCTACAATTTAATCAAATGACCAAAATGTAAGTTGCCAAATACGAATACCTGTACATAACTGTTACCAGCAGGATCGTCAAGAACTAAAGTAACAGTTTTCTTTCCCTCTATAATGCAATCAAATTGTTGCAAAAATGAAGCCAAACGATCTTTATCTTCTTCCGCTTGGGAGTCTTGGAAAATATTTTCACTCAACTGATCTTTGACTGCAACCAGTAAACCTTCTACTGTAGTAAAACGTCCACCCAATGCACTTGGACCAACCTCCAGCTCGAGTTGCGGTATACGCAAGTGGCAAGTTTCCGACTAAAAGAATGATCAAGTGGATTTGTAATGCTTGAAAAACTGTACCTTCAGCAAGTCTCTGCATAAATCGTTTTTGTTACTAACGTCAACTTCGATGCGTACTCCCAAAGGTTCAACTCCGGATCCAGATTTCACTTCGTTTGTACGATTTCCGCATGTATCACAAACAGTTGCCATTATGACGACCTCCTTAAAATGGGGAATGTCTAATTGTCAGTTAAGGCGAGATAAAATGGCGCGAATTTAAAAAGGATACTAGTTAACTTCATATTAGTCTCGCATGGTGAACCGCAGCTATTGCAATTGGTGCCAAACTGTAAAACTTCGCCTTCTAAGTCTTCTAATGAAAATTCACCTTCTTCAATTGGATATAGAATGCCGCTTTGCTTTTCACCCACCTGTAAACATAGAACTAAACAAACAAAACTAAAATTGCATTTCTTTTCAGTATTTTCCGTTCACAATGGATATACATCATACCGCTTCATAGCGACCGTGAATAAAAATATGCCTTGAAATAAAAAGCGATCACAACACGTGCATGTTCAAGTTAAACGTTGGTTAGACTCAAGGTTAGTAGAGGGAGTAGGTTGACTCGATGCCCCATTTGATTGGTGTTTTGAGTTTTCGTTGATTTTGAGAGATTTGAACTTTTCTCTTTGACACACTTTGTTACACCCTTCCCATTTATGGGAGATGCTTTGTCCGTTACAGAGTAGTTGTAGATTATAAGCCAAACGTGTACCTACCCTGCCTTTATCCCCAAGTAATAAACCATCACACCATTTGGCCTGTTTGTTTATTTCATGGAGCCTGATCAAAGTATATAGTTAACCCCGAGACAGGCATTTAATAATAGACCAACAAACAAGCTAATTCTAATATGTAACAGTATTGTAGCAACTTGAACCCACTCTCAAGGAGTATTGCCTAGTTATTAAAATGCAATCATCTGTGATAGATTACTCCTTGTGAACAGAATATACACTGTCCAACCGAATTACCTACCTCTTCCTTGGTAAAAATGCCCAACTCATGATCTTGCTCTTTCGTTCGTGTGAAATGTTTAACTGTACAATGCAAATCTTGAAGTGGGGCATTTGGATTTTCTATAAAACTGTTGCCAGATATATCATCTAAAATCTACAAACTGTTATCGGTCCGATCGCAGAAGGTACATACAAATGTAAAAGGTGTTTCCACATCCTTTAACTTTTTAAGTTTATCGATAAAATTGTCTATTTGTTGTGCGAGTTCTTCATTTTCAATTTTTCTAACAGGTTGATCCATTTCCAAGTCCGATATGCTTCTGTTAATTATGCTTTCAATTGTGGTTACCTCTAAAAGATTTAAATTTACAAATGCGTTAACTGAATGTTACTAACCGCCTCTATGGCTCTTTGAGGGGATCTCAAACTCCAACTCGACTATTTTAACACTGGCAAAGTCACTTTTGACCACTTGGCGATTTAAGTCGCGCCCCGTTTGGACGTTCAATGTTATTTGTATTCCTTTGTCCGGAAGCTGCCCACCTGGTTGGATTTCGTTGTTTGCGTAACCGCATTCGTCACAACTAAAAGACATTAAAACGATCTCTTTATAAAATGGAATTTTTGTAAGAAGTAAGCGGGTAGTGCCCTGCAATAGGAGTTAGGTAGAAGTGTCCTTGTTTCGTTTCCTTACATTTGCTTGACAATTCATGCACAAAGATTCGATTTCTGTGGTTTCCGGTTCGGGATCATCTGCATTTAAATCGCGAAAAATTGGGCGCTTTTCGGACATGGTGGTGCTAGGAGGCCAAGAGTCTTGCACGTGTTTTGAAAATGTGACTTAACCACAACTTCCACCAACACAACCAACCCAAACCACTACTGACTCCATCTATAGAGTATATCACGAACTATAGATTCCTGGAATAGTGGATAGGCAACACACAATGACACATTGAATGAATTCAAATGGAATCAACATGGAAGTAGCAGAGCAGGAGTTGGAACTTGGACCCCATATGAAATATAGGTTCCGGTTTAGCGGAATTATTTTGTAAGTGTTCCGGTACCGATTGCGGTTCTGTGACTGCAATAATTTTCTATTTCGGTTGATCGGCTCCAGTCTTTTCCTGTTGTCATTTCAAATCTTCTCTTCCACCGAATTTTCGGGTCATCACAACGCTGACTGTTCAAACATTCTTCCAGTTTCCATAATTCTTTCCTAGTTTTCTAGAACTTGTCTAAGTATATGTGTATTTTTGATCCAGTGACCCTCACTCCATTCCCATAGGTGTATACAGAGCTGGGCAGAATACTTTCAAAAAGTATTTGAATACTAAATAGTAAATACTTTACACAAATCAAAGGTATTTGAATACTAAATACTTTTACGTCCAGCACAAGCGAATACTAGATACAGATATATTGAAAAGTATTCAAATACTTTAAAAAATAAGTATTCAAATACTTTAGAATGTATTCGAATACTTTCAAAAGTATTCTAATATAATCAAAGGTATTCGAATACTATAAAAAGTATTAGAATACTTTGAAAAGTAATCGAATACAGTAAAAAGTATTCAAATACTTGTCACTGAAATACATTAAAAATTTAAAATAGTATACTAGATAAAAGACTTAATACTTACTACTTAAAAAAATCAAGTTATACTTTGCATGGGGTTAGCTTTTTTTTATATTTCTATTGTTATATACAAATTTAAGGGGAGTAAAAGCGTATTATTATTATATTATTATATAGGAGGTACCTACCAGGACCTTTCTTATACCAATTATTATATCCTTAAGAATACGTGTACCAGTTTTCAAAGCGATCGTACGTAGTTCACATGATACGTACGCCTTTCTGAAATTAATCCTAGCGATTTTGGAACAGATCCATTTCTGACCATCCGTTTGTCCGTGTGCATGTTAGTTTATTTAGAAACGAACGATCGCTTTGAAAATTGGCACACATGGTCTTAAGGATATAAGAAAGGTCCTTATTGTTTTTAAGTTACGTAGACTATCGAGTCAAAAAGTTTCACTCCAGGATCGTTCGGTATTCAGTTGTATCTGAAATAAAAATTTCAAACAGTTTCAAGCTTGGGCTACTAGTTCAAAAATTGTCTCAGATCGACCCGGAAAAAAATTCTCTTATAGAATGGGGCCTGTAGAATCCTTAATTTCAAACAGTTCCAAGATTGGGCTACTAGTTCAAAAGTTACAGCCCTTTGAATTTTCTTTCGAAATTGGTTTCCAGTCTATAACTTTTGATTGAGAAGTCTGATCGAAAAAGTACGAATTGTTTTGGATTCTACGCACCAAAATTAATAAGAGAAAGTGTTTTCCCGAGAAATTTTGGTGCAGTCGATTTTTGGTAAAAAAGGAAGGTTATACACTGCCTTTTTTGAGGCCCTCAAAAAAAATTGTCTCAGATCGACCCGGAAAAAAATTTTTCTTATAGAATGTGGCCTGTAGAATCCATAATTTCAAACAGTTCCAAGATTGGTCTACTAGTTCAAAAGTTACAGCCCTTTGAATTTTCTTTCGAAATTGGTTTCTAGTCTATAACTTTTGATTGAGAAGTCTAATCGAAAAAGTACGAATTCTTTTGGATTCTACGCCCCAAAATTAATAAGAAAAAGTGTTTTCCCGAGAAATTTTGGTGTAGTCGATTTTTTGTAAAAAGGAAGGTTATACACTGCTTTTTTTTGAGGCCCGAAAAAAAAATTGTCTCAGATCGACCCGGAAAAAAAATTTTCTTATAGAATGGGGCCTGTACATTTTATTCAAAACTAAATAGTTAAGAAGTTATTGGCAATATTAAATTTAACAATAAATCAATGTAGTAGGCTATGTACCTGTTTTGTTATATTGTTATGGTGACATTGTTTATTCTTTGTTGTTGTAATTTTAAATTGATATGGCCTTTCGATCCGGAAACCTCCGCTGATATTACCTCAATCTCTTGCATTTTCGTCACAGTATCCGTAAATAACCGCATATTCTTGATTTAAAAACGTAGCCATATCAATTGAATCTTAAAATTACAACGTCAAAGAATAAACAATGTCACCATAACAGTATGACAAAACAATTACATGACCCACTAGATCGATTTATTGTGAAATTTAAAATTGCCCATAACGGCATAACTTCTTAACTATTGAGTATTGGACAAACTGTATAACGAAATTTCGACTTAAAATTGAGCAAGGAATATGGTCTTAAGATAGCTATGTCTATCGAGTCACGGGATACCCTGTATATTAGCGAATATTTATAATTACTGAGAAATAATGCCCAGCAGCCCAGGGCCAGCGTATTAATCTTGTGGAAACGACATGTTCTCGCTCAAAATTCCTGGAAGCGACTTGTGATCCGTAATGATGTCAAAATGCCCTCCATAGCAATAATTGTTCTTAAACTCTCACGATTATAGCCAGAGCTTCCTTGTGCAAATGGCTGTATCTGCGCTCCGTCTGACTTAATGTTTTTAAGTGGATGGGAGCTTTCCTGCCATCTTCTTCCACATGAATCAAAACTACTCCAACTCCCGTTGCATGAAGGTATATGCACCTTTTAAATATTTTGAACTTTTTCAAAAGTAGGATATACTTATTCCCTTTGCTTAGTAACGAAGCGCTCAACTTCTTCTAGATACCGGGTGTTCGGCCAAACTGGTCGACTCCACAAATATCCGGGTGGTCACAATTTCGGGTATGAACTCTCATTCCTACATAATTTCTGATGACAGAGAGCAGGAGGAGTATGTTAGGCATTTCTCAATGACCCAGAAAAAAATCAGTACTTCTCAAAAGGAAAGGACACAAGCAAGACACAAACATTTTAAGTAATTTGCGCATGCGCATATTTGATTTATACCATGTGTTTGCCTTTACTATAGAAGCACATTATATATACTTAGTTAAAATTTGAAACAAATATTGAAATATCACCGTAAACATTGAGAACTTTGCGCATGCGCACATCTGATGTTTACTATATGCGATGTGTTTGTCTTTATTATAGAATCACCTGTGGTTGAAAATTTAAAAAAATGTCTCTATAATAAGAAAGGAAAGAACTAAATATATTGAAAATTGTAGAGGTTATTAGTGTAAAGGGGAACTGTAATGAATAATTTTACTGACAGCACTTATATCGAGTACTTAGTCTTTGAACAATTTCCTCGTGATTGTATTTACAGATTCAATTAAAAAATAACAATTTACATTTGAGCAGTTTTGCAGTCGATGTAGCGACGCCAAAATTCCCGACCCGAAAAACTGGATAATGGTTGGTTACAATTCGATGCTCCATTAAAATTAATCATCGCATATTCATCACAGTTTGTAATACCATCCTCGTTGCAATCCTATGGTACAAATATATATATCGAATTTCATTATAGGTAACTTACCTTTCCATGCTTTGAAATATACTGTTTGATAGTATTTCGAGCGCACGATAACGTCAATGCGCAGCTCTCAAAAGCTGAAAACACACAAATTTGAAATGTGACTGCATATAGGTACTTAATTTTTAACCTCCAGCGAAATAGGGAAGGTTGCCGGGGAGTGTCGGACTTCCAGCATCCTTCCAGTAGTGATATCCAATTTGATATGCCCCGCAATAGCCACCATTACAACCACTTCTTAGGTTACACCTTGTAGAAGCATAGCAGAGACATTCTAAACATTCGTTATTTAAGTTCGATACAAATAAATCTGAAAAAGTTAGTACTTCAAGTGCACACGCTCACTAGATAAGATCATTGTATGTATATGAATAAACAATGTTAAGATCACCTTGCCCAAATACGATCACCATGTAGCACACTATTAGAACAATCTTCATGCCTGATTAGTTAGAACTACTTAACTACAGACAATCGACGTACTTGTGTACCCAATTTTTTTTTGAGTCATCATACAAGGAACGTTTCAATGTACAATAGAACCTTGAAATTCCATTATATCTCATTAAATTAAGGCAACGAGTGTCATGGATCCGGTTATTTCGATCTTATGTAACTACTGAACGGAGTGTACTGATTATTTATTTCCTCTGGTAAGGGATAAGTTTGAAACTTTGGAATACTCACTTTCAATATATCGAAGTTGTAAAAAATGTCGCATTGCTATACATGGGAAGTTTGGAAATGAAAATACGAATCTTAGTTTGTTTTTTAAAATTAGGATAGGTACACATTATTGCGATTCAGGTCTTAAGCCAAAAGGAAGAGCCTAATTTTAAAATAGTTGAGGCTCGAGTTGAGGTCTGCACTCAAACGACGACCGCACGACCACTCTTAGGAGATTCCGTTGACAAAGTTAATTTTTTTTATAATTGTATGTTTGAAAATGTTGTTTTAAATGTATAAAAGTGTAGGTGATATAGTGGGGTTGAAAAGAAAGATTCTCCATCCCTTAATCGTATTTATTTGGCCGGACATTATATATTGAAAAATTTTAGGGTGCTACTAGCTCTCTACTGTATAATAACTGGTTCTGGTACCGTTTGGTCAGTAACATTTGGGCTGCTCTGTTTTTTATCTGAAAATTTAAAAACCTGGCTGCTTCCTCCTTCAGGCACCTTGATGGAAAAAATGATACTGAATTGAAATGAGATCGTTGATAGAAATTTAAATCAGCTTTCAATTTCCAGCTTCCTCTAGAGCAGTACAGCTTTCAACATACAAATTTTTATATCGATTGAAAAACATCGCGTTTCCCAAACTACTACGAAACATATGCGTGACCACGTTATTTATTACTAAAGCAATAATTCAACTAAATGACACAAATTTACTGTTGCAAATAAAATATTAGTTCGTAGTTTACATACAATAATTGAAAATCTGGAATTTACACCTTTGACACAATTATAAAGAGATTTTCGTTATCTAGAATGGAACTTACATAATAAATTCTGAATTTAAGTTTCCTAACCGAATCCAAGAGGCACATGAATCTTATTTTCATTAAAATAATTTCTTTTTTCTGAAACTACTTTAGAAACAATTACTTTCGTCTCTAAAAAAGGTGAAAAAATAGTTATTTATATAACAAGAGCGCGAAGTTCAATTTCGCGCATTGAGACTGAAGGTATTTTGACGAGGCGAAGCCGAGTTAAAATATCAGTCAAATGCGCGAAATAACTTCGCGCTAGCGTTATATACAATATTTTTTCTACAACTGAACCGATTGTTAATTAAATTTGCTGTTTAAGTTCAACTTTGTGCGCGAAATACTTTTTTTCACTGTTGACGATTTCGCGCACGTTGTCAATAGCAACCTTACTTATTAATTAACCGTTTAAAAATCTAGTACTTCGCGTTTCGAAATCCGTCAGAAAATGACAGGTTTTTTTGACAGTTGTAGAAAAATATGATTTTCCTATCTAGTGAGGAAAGTGAAAAACAATTGCTGCGCTAATCTTAATAATGACATTTAAAAATGAAATATAGGTACCCCGTATCTAGATTGCTAGGTGTCAAACTTCATTATTGCGTACGACAATTTTTCAATTTTGATTGTAGTTTCCGAAAAAATTATGTCTAAAACGTGAGAAGAAAGTGTTTTTTAACTTTCGTTCAATTTGAACTCGAGTTGAAAAACTACACTTTCTTCTCTACTTGTACAAATAACTATTTTCTTTACGCTGTCACCACAACACAGACAATTGGATCGAATCCTCCAGGAATTTGTAATTTTTTGAAAGTTAACAATTTTTAAAAAAATTGCTTAAAAAATAAACGTTACTTTATTTGTAAAACGCCTATGCTACTTCCTAGTTGTCCAAATGCAGAATACGAGTGCGCACTTTGATTTTGGTTCGAGAAGAAAGCAAATTTTTTTGTTGCTGACAGGCAGCGGAAGGTAGTCAACTGACGAGCGAGTGTTAAATTTTACACCAAGTGCTTTGAGAAGAGGTTTACTGAGTACTCGGTCAAATTTTTAGATTATCACGTTATAGTTTCTTCTTTTTCGGTTTGCACACTATTATGATTTTCGCAGATGCGCCCGTAAAAAATTATTCGCGTGTTCTAACTCGATTTTTCTACAAAGTACTCGCTTTTGAGATCCCGTAACAATTCAACGGGGCTTCTCGCTCGGTAGCTAAACGAAGAATCTTTCAAATCATTTCTCTCAAGGGCGCATCCCTGTCTAACTTCCTAATTAATTAACGTCCCTAAATGGTGCTTTATTGATGAAACCGGCCATTTTTAATTATTAACTCATCTGATAGCAGCTCTTTCAGCTATAAACTTCTAGAAATGTTCTTTCAATCTAAAGCCAAGTCGACTTCCTATGAATTTAGTGGCAAAACTATGGTCTTTGATACATCCTGGAATGGTTTATGTAGTAGCGTAATTTTTTCCACTTCGGGCAACTCCACTGGCTATAATCTTTCATCATTTTTTAGTAAATGTCGACTTTCAATAAATTTGAGGGACGAGAGTATAGTCTTTGCTATATTTTTTGGTAGTTATCCACTGTATCTCTTAATATAATCATAGTAGCGTATAATTTTTTCACTTCTGGCGGCCCTTCCAACTATAATCTTTCGGAAATGCAATCTTACATCTAGTATATTATGTATGTGCCATTATTAATTTATGTATTAATAGTTTTACCTATGTTTCATTTTTAAATATATTTGAAAATAAAAAATGTGATACTCTTTGGATTTTGTTCGTCCGTCTGTCTAATCCCACTTATCCAGGTTTGGTTGAGTCTTGGTCATAAAACGCCTCTCCCCTCCCGTGAATTATTTTCTCAGTAGCTGTTTTGCAAAGTAAAACGTGGAACAGTCGAAGCCTGTGTCAGCTTCATATCTTTAAGATTTCATTGAACTAGTCGTATCGCTTCCTTATCTTGTTGAAGAGAATCACTGGAATGATGGTGTTGGTTATCCTTAAAGAATTGAAGCATTCAAAAGCCATTTAACGTACAAGCAATCTGTAACAGAATACCAACTGAAAACAAGCAACGGTTATCTTAAATATATATTTATTTAATTTCAATAAATATTCTTCATGTTTTAATTTAACTCAATATTTAACATTTTGTCAACAACAATTTAGCAACCGCCTACTATCTATTGGTACGTTTGGCCTGCATTGAAATGCCCAAGATATGTTATGCCTAAATAAGTTGGTATAAGTAGGTATAGCCGTTACAATAACTTTCAAACACGCTAAGAAGACGGATAAAATGTATATCTATACGCTTTTGTGTAGGCAATGAAATTAATTTTGAGTGAACGTCAAAAATTTACCACATTTTGCCAAAGATTACATAGAAAGACATACACCTTTCAATAACATTAGCCAAAGATACATGAAAAATGGAAACTATTTCCTAGTAGACAGGATAGATACATAGAGAAACGTGGGGGATTACACTAATAGCGATTCGAAATTTGTAATGTTTCGAAAATTATAAGCCGTACATACAGCTATCTTAAACATTTAAATACATTCACGCTAAAATAATGTGAAGAAGTATCCGGACGAATTTCAGTTTAAGATCGAGCTGTAAGATACAGCAGCTATAGATTATCTATTGTACTAAATAGGCATGGCAAAGAACACTCTTTGTAGTATAGATAAATGTTTATTTTAACCAGTGCTGTAGTTATTAAAAGCATCATGTATCGATTATACGCATAGAGATCCCTCAACCATTTAAATTTGGAGAGATCCATGCGTTTTTAACGAAATAGTACGAGTGGGTGCTTATGTGCCATAGCATCCACTGGACTGTACTAGAAATAAACATTGCTTGTAAGGAAAACTCAATTAGGCCTAAATGTCAAAGCGTACATTCGCAAAATCCTCTAAGTACAGAAAGCATTGCTAGATACAAAATTTACAAATCGAAATTGAGACTTTTAAGTACATTCTACTTTGGTCTTTGATGTTATCACACTTTGATTTTTTCCTGTAAATAAGTCGTTGTGAATGAGAAGGAAAATAATAAAAAAAGATAAAGAAGGAAGACATTGAAAAAGACGAATGTTATATAGGAATGACTCTACAGATTTTGGTCAAGTTGTATAGGTCCACCACAGATACATATTTTATTTCTTTCTTGTTCAATTTGAATACTGTGCCCTCATACTTTTTGTAAGGGATCACATAAATACCAATTGAATTTGACAGCTACCTAATAAATCTAATACAAACAAATACATAACAACTTACTGTATGTACCTACATACAATTATATAAAAATTCTCTTTGTCATATTCTATCGTCAGATTTAAGGCCGGTTTTGTATTGTATTGATCCAATAATCGCTTGAAGGAAAACCCACAGCCAAAAACCCCTCGGTTTTATGAAAGAAGATTGATGTCCGAGCTGTGATTAATGATCAACAAAAATAAAATTAATTACCAAACAACAAACAACTTATAAAAAGCCAATTTGTTAAATATGTGATAAGGGGTTAACGTCTTTATTTTTACACGAGGGTGGTTCAACCAATGATAAAGCAGCGACAAGGGTATAATCAAACGTTTATACTAAGCATTCGTTTTCAACCCGATTATTGAATTATACTATTTCTTCCTAAAAGGTACTTATAGAACCGGCAGTTCTGAATTAGGGCAACGTAATTCTTACTACACTAAGAGACCAATCAGTGTTTCTTTCGCTGTTTTCGTCAAATTATTAGACTATGAGATGGCATAACGGCACAATATCGTTTCAGGAATGGAATTTTAAAATTGTTTAAGCATTGGTACTATCAGAAGTTTTTCTCCGATTTGTTTTGGTATAACTATCCAAATAAAATAAAACGTTGTATTCGGAAAGTACAATGAAATCGTTTATAGAATAAATATTAGTGCAGCTTACCGGTTTTCTTATTACAAACAGTAAGCAGGAGGAATATTTACGCTTTGAGACGGAAACTGTTTCCCGGCCCATTAGGAGCTTACACATCATTAACTCAATGGGTACAAAATATTGTACGTTGTATTTTAATGACGCTCTGAAAAATTGCGTATTCTCTTAGAAGTGGTAAAAAATCAACAGCTGAAGACTGAACTTTATAATAAACAGTGAAATATTCTGAGAGGACCTGAAGTATAGGGCGGGGTTTGAGATAATAACAGTAAAGCTAAGAGCTGGAGACAGAATTTGGCAAAACGTACGAATTCATGATTGGTCTCGTAATTTGAACACAATTTTAATACCTAAAATCTACTTAAAACCCATGGATAACATGGTATACTTCTAACGTTGACATAACGAGGTAGAATATCCAAAGCGAAAATAAAAATGCAGATGTTATATATTTGATACATGTCGGTCCTCCTAATTCGCCGCCTACGAAACGTGTTCGTCGCAGTAATAACACCACTATCGTAATGGCAGCTTCTGAACAAAATATTGTAACCGAAAATGCGAGGCTGAAACGAAAAAAAAATTGCATTAATTTTCTTCAAACACCAAAGTAACTCACTTTCCAGGATTGACTCTAAATATATTTCCGTGTACATCGTGGTAAATGGCAGCTATGGACCATGCGACGCCAATTCCCAGAAAAACGTTTACGGCGTTACTTCCCGTCACATTTCCTATACTCGCGTCCGCATGTTTATCTTGGGTGGCAGCTACTTTGCTTGCGAACGTATCTAGAAAGAAAACATTAGGCATAAACATTTCGAGCAAATGAACGCCCTTATATTACGTAATGGAAAAGCCCTGAAACCTAGTTTGCGCGAAGGCATCGAACAGGAAATTGGAAATCGTGGTTGAAAAGCAGAAGCGTCTGCATGTCTAGTGGGAATGGGGATGATTAAAAACCCTTTAACCCCAATAGACTTATAATGAATGCTTAAAATCAGAACTCTGATCAATCGGAGCATACCAGAAACTTTTTTGTTATTGGTTATTCAAATCCGTATGTTAAATATTATTAGGACTGGGTCTTTAGTGACTCTTTATTTTTTCACAATTAACACGATCTGAGCATCGGATAATAATACGGAAGTCAACAATATTCTATTTACCCATAGCTATTATTATTTTGTATAGAAGCGCGTTTTCGACACTGCAAACTATGGAATCTAGAGATTTGTTTAGTAGCTTTTTTGCGATTATTAATTCTTACATGCAAAATGATTAATTATTTTGTCTCGACAACAGCGTAACCCAATGTAGGAAGGACGGTCTAATTTATTTTGCTTTATATTCCATTATTAGCAATGCAAATAGAACAAAAATCTATATTCAATCAAAACAACGGCAATACAGTATTATCCAGTCAAAGGAGAACTTTTCTTGGAAACGCACCGGAAAACATGGAAATTTAAAAATAAAAATTATACTTGGAGATGAATCAATTTGCTACAAATGAAATTAAAAACAGAAAATAAATGAAACATTGTTAAATGTATATCCATAACTGACAGTTTAAGTTATCTTCCCATAGGTTTTTAGGTGATCTAGGGCTTCGGTTACTTCTGGTTTGTATAAAACGTCTTTACCGTCTTCTTCACAGTGTTCATCGACGGTTTTTAGTTTTTTTTTTAATTTCTTTGAGATCGGATGTGTTTTAACTTACTTGTAACAATAATTGCTATGTTAGGGATAGTAGGTATACTACTTTTTATTTAATTTACATTACCGCGTAATGTTTTATTTCATAGTTTTATCTACATGAAAAATCTCGCCAGCTGTCGTTTAATTAAAGTTTCTTGAGTCACTGAGAGCTTACCAACTCAAAGAACCCCTGCGCTAATTTAAAAAGTATACACCAGGCTAACCGCGCTAGTTATACGTTAATGAAACCTTATATTTATACTTTTACTGACGGATCGTTAACTTGTTCTCCTACCTACTACATAAATTCTTTTCGTTTCTTACATTTTCCCACCTTGAGACTAAAAGACTTAACCACATACAAAACATATTATACGAAATTAACCCTACTTGTATTACTCATAATGTCTAGGGCAGCTCACCACTCGACCACATTGTGTCGTACGCATTAAAGCATCCTCAGTAATCACCTTCTCGCTACTTGTTGAAATACTCTCCACTTTCGCTTTTTCTTAACCACGAAGGTACGAAGCTGTAGCCTTCTTCACTCGGTTACGCGGTAATTGTGGTTCTTCAGTGAAGACACAAACGGTAGGTACATGGTACATTTGGCAATTATCATGCTCCACTCAAGGTACGCTCAAAATTCATACAACGAAATTAAATAGGGATGCGCGTGAGCGTGGTTTCACCAATATATATGTCTCGTCCACACAATTCATTTTGCCTTTGTGGATACTTTCCTCCGGCACACCGTTTTGGAGATATTTGCTTTTAAAGTTTTGACATCACCACTCCCATAATCAATTCTTGAGATATAATTTATATCCGATCACGACAAGGGTTCGAGGAGAAGGACTATGGTGGGTAGAAATTTCGTAGAGACCTTTCATTAGAGTACCATCAAGGATAAAACTTCAGAAAAAAGTACGATAGTTGGTAGAAAACCGTTTCTTTTGTTGAGACCTCTCATTAGAATACCATGAAAAATAAAATTAATTTCTACCTCCTCCCCCCGCCGCCGGCCACTTATTGATCTCGAAAAAGAGTCGCGCAGGATAGTTATAGTTTCTACAAACCAATTCATTTCGAAGAGACATTTCATTAGAATACCATGAAAGGTAGACCCCCCCCCCCCCCATTTTCAAAAATGCTACTTGGAACCCACTATGGCATTGAATAAGCACCTTAAAGAAGTATAACTACATAGGAAAACATGAAATTGGTGTAAGGTGTGTTGCGTACACTGCAAAGTGGTTAATTACCACAAATATTGAAAGATATTTGGCCTCGGGCGGTAAATAAGGACTATTTTAAACAGGGAAACCAGTTATACTTAGGGGCCCTTTGTTTAATTGTTTTCCTTGTTTATCAGAGTTAAACAGTGCTGTCATATTTTTCTTTGTTATATCGAAAAGTAGCTTTATTTTATTTTATGTTTTTGCACCGAGTATTTCGGTAGGTACCTAGTCCGTTTTATTAATTGAATTATTTATTATTGATGTTAGTGATATTCCTTTTATACGTCACGTTTGACTTAAGATCCTCGTAAATCCATTTTAAAGTTTTGTGCAATTTACAATTAATAAGGTGGTTAAAGTTGCCTCTTTTTTGTGACGCAAAAATAATAAAGATGTTTGAATTGAGGCAGTTGGGTACTAGGAAAAAAGAAAATATTTTAGGAACATTAAAGAGAAGCAAGAAGACAAATTTCGAAAAAATCTTTTATTAACATCCAACACGTTGATTTATCATTTCAAAAACCGTGTATATCTTCAAACAGTTTTTCCAGTTTTTGGCGATTTTTTGGAAGTTTTTCTATAGGAATAATATTTTTTACTTTCGTTTATTAAAATATAACTCTTCCCAAAAATTTTGCTACCCCGGTCACGTCTGTACGATGGAAAAAAATAGATTTTTCATCCCCTTGAAGACGAGGTGGTTTTACGGGCCCAAAATTGTCCTTTTTTATCATAAAACAAGCTATGTTTTCTCCAAAACCCCTACGACTTTTTTTCGCAAATATAATAAAAACCGAAAAAACAGCTTTTCCGGTTTTTTTAGGAAAATCGGAGGGTATGTGAAAATAGTGCAGATACAAAAGTCGTTGATTTTTTTATTCTCTATAACTTTTATATTGAACATTTCAGCCTAAAATTAGTAGTTTTGCCACAAATTGCAAAACATTACTTTCCACCTCTTTCAACCCCCGGGATTTCATCAGCGGAAAAATTCAGCTGTTTTAATTATTTTTCCCTAAATTCTAATCATTTCACCTGCATGAAAAACCCGGTTTGAACCGGTAACTAATTTTTTTTGTCGAAAAATGTTATATAGCCTGGACCATTGACCATAAGGTGCTTATTCAATGGTTATACTTCTTCAATGGTACCACCCTACCTACTTAGTAATTACTTATAATGAAAGTCCGCATTCTAACATTAAATCTGAAATTAATTACTGAGGTCATTAATGTGCCTAAAATTACCAGATCCTTATATGGAGCTAGGTAAAGTTTGATTGTTTATTATGTAAAGATAATGGTCCTTAGAACAGTTCTTGTTGTTTTCTTATTAGATTAAACTACATTTTTTACTTTATTTATTGTTCCTTATGATCTTACATTTCAGATTGATCCTCCCTTAAATAAAATTGTTATTGGCATTGAATTATTCAATATTTTAATCTAGTTTATTCAAACTCAAAGCGCTTGCCAAAAATCTGGCAACGTTGGAATTTTAAAGAAGTAAAGAAATCTGCAAAGTCGGTAACTAGCTTTAAATTTGTGGTTCACTTTCGCCTACAACAGAGGGACGACAGAATCCTGGGCAGATTTTCTTATTTCATCAATTAACACGGGCATTATACTTCTGTAAGGTGCTTATTCAATGACTATGGTAAATGTAAGAAAAATGTTCGCCATCTTTTTTTTTAATTTTTAGATAACTAGGTCAAAAATTAAAAAAGTTACAGCTTTTAGAAGGTGAAACAATTAAAATTTTCGATTGATTTAGTAATACATATTTTCATTTTTAGAAATAAGTAAATAACTGTAAGTTCGTAGTTACATTTATAACAAAAGGTCTGTTATTTCTTCATGTTCTATGTACAAGGAAAAATATGTACTATTGGTCTCGAGATCCTTACGAATCCAAGTGATCCACAACGAAAATTTAATATCAACATGTGCTGTGGTATTATGGGGAGAAAAATTATTTGACCCGGTTTTATGGCGAAAGATACCTCAATTTAATAACAGACGAACTTTTTGGACGATATTAGTGCAAAGTCGAAAAGTTACGTACTTAGAACAAGATGGGGTGCCGCCGCACAACTTTGATAGAATTGCTGATGGTGCATGAGCACTACGTTTGATGGCCGTCGCGTTCACCAGATCTAACCCTTCTGGATTTCTTTCTTTGGGCTGTGTAAAAATAGTTATTTACATAAAAGTCAGGAAAATGATACATTACGGGCGAGGCCCCTTTGGGGCCGAGTACTTTAATTTTCGAGTCAGGTAATGACATTTTACTGATGAGTTTTGTATTAAATTTTACCCGAAATCTTTTTTAATATAAAATTTCAATTTTTATATAGAACTTTTGATTAACGTCAATCTGTCAGTGATGACAGGAGTCATTATAGACATTTGGAAATGTCAAACATGCGACCGGTAAAGTGACAGTGTGGCCGATAAAGTGACAGGTGCGGCGAGTAAAGTGACAAGCGGCAGGATACGTAGTGTGCTCTGCCTCTGTCATGGAAACTAAAATTTCCTGACAGAAAGTAGGCATGAAAATGAAGGTTTCAGGACGATTTTGGGTAAAAGAAAATTATATGCGCAAAACAACGTCATAAATTTAGAAAATTCTATTCACCGAATAATTAATTCAATTGGCTCACAGGCCAAAGCTTCCAATTCAGTGTTAAAAAGGTCTCAAAAATGTACTAAAAAAATGGAAACTGAACACCTTCTTTAACTTATCTATTGTAACTTGTAAGTTATTTTTATACCTACAATTTTCTTCACCTATTATTCTTATTTTGTTAATATATCCTACTGTGTTAGTCATATTAACTAGGTACTGTAATTCTTACGTTTCACTATACTCATTCATTCCTCGATTCATACTCACTCCCTTTCAATCAATATTCATCATTCGTCCCCACTCAATAAAATAAATTAACTTACCTATTACTCCATCACAGTACATCCGGTACCTAGGTACTATGTTATGTAGTTTTATCATTTTCATGGATAACGAGGTCCAAATGAAAATAATTCAAAAATCTTAGTTAAGTATTTGATGTATTTTGGCTATGGTGCATCAAGTACTTCTGTAGAGAATTTAATAAGCTGTCATGTGAGGTAATAATATATAGGGTATTCCAAATAAAAAAGTCGAATTTTTTATATTATCGGAACACTGCGATTAGGGAATGCAAAAATACCGCACATAAATGGACCAAGGGGACGACTCTGTTTGCTTTGTTAATGAAACGCATAACGGGAAAATTATTTTTAAAATAATTGGTAATTTTTTTCGTTAAAAGTGTACTATGATTTTTGAGGCACTTTAGAAGTTCACCTTTTTGCGCTTTAGGGGTGATTTTTTTGAGTTCTAAGTTAGACTGAAGGTACTTTTTTGTTGAATATTGTGATGATAAGCGATTAATTTTAATACAGAAGTTAATCGCTCAAAATTGCTTATTTGCCAATTTATTTAAAATTTTGCGTGATCCCGCAAATACCGGGATTGAGATTTTACTGCGGAATTGCATTCCCTTATTGCAATGTTGTTTTATTCGGATTCGGTAGAAGAAAAATACACAATTTTGATAATGTACCTAACCGTATTTCTAACTCCACAACTAAGACAGTTAGCAATAGATGCCGATTTATTTTGAACAGACTGTGCGTCCAGGGTGTAGAAACGGTTTACGCCCCATAGAGTCTTCAACGCTAATTTCTCTATATCGAAATATTTCCTGTCCTAATTAATTTAGAGCAAACTTGTGAATAGGTTCCTTTATGACTTGAAAAATTCTGCGCCTGTTCATGTCCTCATTTATTATTTTTCAATTTGGCATACCGCAAAAACAAAAATTCGATTTATAATTATAATGTGTAATTTCCTTAATTTCTCCGATTTCCCACCACAAAAATTACAAATGGGCACATTAATAGAGGCAAAAGCTTACAATGTACAAAAAACTTATTTTCAACTTTGCTGTAAAATAATTAGGGGAGAAAGTATTACAACATAATAAAATTACCATTGAAATCCCTACGGTGAGTAAACCGTTTACACACCTTGTATAAAAAAATACAAAAAACTGTTAATGGAATAGTATATATTTTTCATTTCTAAAGAAAAAAGTACTCGACACATCTTACACAGATTCAAAGGCAAAATTAAATGTCTGGACGAGACGTATGTTGGTGAACTTTCAGTGCAAATACTCTCAAAGGGCAGAAAGAACGTCTAGACGAGACACATCTATCGGCGATGTCAAAACTTAATTGTGAATATCTTGAAAATGTTGGAGGAAGGTACCTACAAAGGGAAAATGCAATATTTCGGCGAAATTCTCTAAGGGCTTGATTCTTCTTGCATTAAATAGCGTAGATTTTGAATGTATATCAGGCGACCGTTAAATGTTTATGTGTAAAAAGCCCCCTCCACATTAATCATCTACCAAAAAAGAAAGCATCTATAAAAATAGCATGCTACTACTACCTTATATGCAACTATTTACTAAGTTAATACGGTTTTAAAAAATTAAAAAAATCTATACTTATTCTATACCTTTTCTAGACCAACCGAGTGCCTTTAAAGCATCTTTTTTGATCGATAAGCGCTACCATGAGCACAAATTATCTGTGCCATGAGGTATGATGCTATGCCGCAACTTAGAAGAATAAATAACAATGTAGTTGCTCTGAAACCTCTGCCTTTGCCAATGCCAGGCATTCCAGATATCATGGAATTTATAGTACATTATCGCGTACTGTGTGCACGTACACTTTCAAAGCTTTCCAAGCCCTTCCAAAGCTCTCTGTATACCAACACCATGCCCTATCATAGTTTTCTGGGCCTTTTCGGAACTTTTTAGGCACGGACTTTCTTAAGCACTTCCCAGGGTTGTTTTGCCGTTTTTCTAAACGTTTGTCAACCTTTCTAGGCTGATCCTCCATAGGGAAGGCCATGGGATTTAGTAATGGTCTAAAATGGTCTCGGAAGCACCTGTAAGATCTAAAAAGCTCTGAAACATTGAATTTCCGTGCTCTATAAATGCTTTTCAGGACATTCGGAGTCTTCTGTACCCACTGCATCCAATGTAAATTTCCATAAGAGCGCCCGCCACAAAAACTCTATTTGTTTTTCCAAAAACAATTTTTTTAAGAACTATTTTATAAATTTAGACCTTTATCTACAAAATGTTCGGACTATTTTTTTTAAAAAGTTTATAGCAACTTAATACCGAATGTTTAAAGATTAGATGTTTCGCACCGATTATTGCGCTAATCTGTTTTATTTTTTTACTCTCGATCAAGACGATTTATGGAAAAAGTAAACCGACAGTTTTTTAGATAAGTTACTTCTAAACATGACCCCAAAAAATGAAATCATAATTTTTGTAAATAAAGTCTGTATCTTGGCGGGCGTTAAATCAACAATTTGAGTGTAACAAGTGGCGCCGCTGCAGAGTGTCAGTGGGAACTAACTAAGGACCAAGACAGGAGTTGACAAAGCAAGAATATCATCTTATCTCTTGCAGCTATAATCATCTATACACTATAATGTAAAAAGGTTGCGCTTAGGTAAAGAAGACTCTTAAGCAATTGAAAGTTTTCCAGGGCCTTTCCCATAATTCTACATCCTTTATACAACTGGATAGGCGTTCCTAGCTTAGCGCTATCGCTTTCAGGGTGTGTAGGTACCAAATATCTAGACATACATTAAAAGAAAAACCATTAGATTACGCTCGTAAAACTGCAATTTTTCCGATTTAATCTATCTCTTCTAATTTGCGAGATCCCTCGTTTATGCGAGCTTTGTGTAAATCCCCCACAAAAAGGCCTCAACCTTTTTTGTTCTGTAAATTTAAACTGAACAATATGTGTACCCTTAGGACCTACACACAGCACAATGGAGAAAATTGAAAATGTTTACCAGATATTAATTTTTTTGTTGTGCTTAGCTATAGGTCAAACTTGATTAGCATAATATTTCGAGGGAACTCTTGCGTGTTGACAACGTTATACAGAATTCCTCGAAAGGGAGGTAGGTAGGCAGCCGATTAAATTTTACTTCAATTTCACATGAAAATCGTTATTCCCAACTCCCTGTTTATAAGAAAACGTAAGCATCCAAAATTAAACGCTCTAATTTATAATTGTTGATGTCTGCGTAAACCTTAGCCGTGTGAAACGTAACGATTATATGCGTTTAATGGCCAAAGTACATTTTAAGCCATCCATTTTTTATACACGAGAAAGTTTTATCAACGTAGACTACGAAGACGCGTAAAAGCGGGTAGCTAAATTAGAAATAATTAAAGCACCCCTGCTCGCTATCTGTCTTTCTTAGGTTGGCGTTCCTCACACAAATTTATGGTTTTTTATGAGCTTTAATAAAGGGTTAGAAATTCAGAAGTTACCTGGTATGCTGGTACCCAGCGCCACAAACATAATTGCCGTTACTGAATCTTCTATCCCTAACGTTGCTCCAAAATGAGATGCTACATCACCAATTACGGCAGTTACGACACCTATACCTAGGATGGATATCACGAAACATAAATATCCTTTGGCAATATCTGAAACAAGACATTAGATGTATTCAAGTGTAGCTGAGGAAAACTAAGTTTGTATTCGCGATTCGTGGAATGTAAAAGCGCGTAGGTATCGATTTTGATGAAGTTCACATCTTGGTCTACCTTTTAATTTTAAGTTTCTGATTATTACCAGAGTCTTATATCACTTTCAGTTACCGATGGCAAGCAACAAGGAGTGTGTAAACAATTGCATAGTAGAAATAGTTATACCTAGTCATTTTCTTGACATAGGAGTTTATATACTTACGATGTATTGATCTAAAATTTTCCTTTGGGTGTTCTAAATAACGTATACCTACGCTTAGTCGTCAATTTAGAATTTGTGATGGCAATCTAACTTACACGATCGACTTATACCTTGCGTGCGAAGGTTTGCAAGAAAAACCTTGTATGCATTTTTCATTAAAAAAAAACCTTTCATTTAGAATTAGGGCTACTCGTCGCGAGATAACTTTCTCTTTCAAGAAATAAAAAGTATCGCAAACAGCTCTATTCTGAAATATTCGACCTTTATTTCGCACTTTATTCTCTCATTCAAGGCATTAGAGCGTTCTTTTAATCCCTTTGCCGTTGCTTTCAAAGAGACGTGACGACGGCGGTTACTACCACAAACGTCTCCTGTCGTAATCTAAACCCTCTATTTCTTCTAGTTTTCTAGCGAAGTTCAATCTGATAAAAAATGAAAGATTGTTTTCATTATAGAAAGCAGCTTCACATTGATCAATTTTGCCCCAATTTAACCAACATCGAAAGATACAGAGATACGTTTGGGGATTAAATTTAAATGGTCGATTTCTGGTTTGTTGTTTTTGTGATTTAATATCCGATTACGTGGCCTGAAATTACTTAGCAATTTGCATATAGACTAGTCGATATTTCGAAACATGGAAATTGGAGGAGCGTTTCATATTACTTTTTGACAATCAGTGTCATGCTTGTTATGTTGCCAAAGCGAAATCTCGACCAGACGCGAGATATACAAAATGGCGGCTAATTTGGCGATTCATGAACCGCACTTGAATGAGCCAGTAGATGAATCTTGGTGGGATTTTTCTAATCCTTTTAAAAATACGAGGAAGTGTCAAGAGCAGTGCTGGATTGCAGGGTAGAGTGCCTGACTTTGGTCAGTTCTAGAGCCGAAAAGTGAACCAAAAATCTGCTGGACGTAATTTAATAGGAAAGAAATGAATTCTGATCCTGATGTGTCTACCACGGGATACTTTCCATTAATTTTAAATACTGTACAAGAGTTATCCGCATTATACTGTGTTCTTCAAAGCTGCATTTACTGGCTGAAGAACTTGGCAAGAAATATGAACTTCTTACTGCTAATCAAGCATTGTAGCGAACATTCCAGAAATCCCGACAGACATCGAGGCGAGGTTATTCATCCGCAATAAGAGCGAAAGCGGATGTGTGGCAATTCTTCCGAGAAAAACGACGTGTTTATTGTAGAACATTCAGAACCGTTCAATATATAAGCAACTAAAGATATGATAGACCTATATAAGCGCTCCCAGGAACGTTCTTTTTGCGCAGTCTGTCTGTTGCACAACACGATCACTTGCTATGTGAAAATCGACGGGCAACTAGAAAGGCTTCTAATTCTCCGTTTCGTGTTTCGGCAAAATCGACCATGTGAAATATAAAAAAGAGTTTTATGTTCTTGAAAGTTTGCCCACATCGATAAACACATGATAAACATCATTTATATATGAAGGGTATTACATAATCGACATCTGCTTGGCATTCAAACAATTTTTAATAAAAAAAATATAATAAATAGACTTACCAGTTGGAGGAACAAATGCGAACAGAATTTTCCAAAATAACGTAATACTATGCAAGAAGTAATCGCAACAGGACGGTACTTTTTCCTCTTCCTCATTACTTGAGCTAACAGTTAAAGCTTCTATAAATTGCTCCTTCCATGATGAAGTTCCTATTAATAATGAGGCGTTCGCTCGCTGAACTAATTTATCAACAGTATTCTGCAAATAATAGAGAATTTCCATTACTTTTGGTGCAATCTGCCATTGTAATTGTCATTTTAATTTACAGTTACGGCATAAAAACAAAAAAACAGAGAGAAACCTATCTAATCTTACTAAATCTAAATTATAAAAACTGATTTTTAATTTATTCTCTCGCAATGTCGTAGGTTTACCATGGTCGTGCTATAAAAATTCGTAAGCAACAATAAAACCGTTAACACTTCCATTTCTTATTAGCGGTTAACGTCAAGGCAAGCTACGAACTTGTAAAACTAACAGATTAACAGATGATATTTGAATGCTCATATTGTAGCGAATATTCCAGAAATCCCGGTAGACATCGAGGCAACGTGAAAGATTAGTCATGGGCGATAAAGAGCGAAGGCGAATGTGACGCAATCCTTCGGGGAGAAATGTCGTGTTTGCTCTACAACATTCTGAGAATGTGGTTTGATATACAGTGGTATTCATTTAGAAGTGGACATAGGGATTTCCTATATCTACTTTTAAATGACAAAATCTTTTCTGAAATACGCCTAATTTTATGCAACCAAAATAATTCATGCGCACGCATTCGCAAATGAATATCACTGTAAAAGTAAATCTAATTGTGTTTCGAGTCAGTCCCAATTTCCAAGTCGCTGTATTACCTAAATAGTTCGCGCAGATATAAATTGTGCATGTCATGTGAGTGATAAATAATACCTACTTTAATTGTTATAAATCAATTTATTTCAAGACTGTCATAAATTTATTGTTAGTTACTTGTAAATAAATAAAGTACGTAATGAAATTTATGTTACAATAATATACTCAATCGCGGTGCGAAGGTGATATTAAGAGGCCACTAAATCATAACTGGCTCTCATACAACATCGTTTTCGGGTTAAGTGGAAGAGCACAAAGGGCTGCATGCCTCTTAGTGAACTTCGCCTTTTGGACGCCAAGTTGTATGTATAATATTGGTATTGTTTATATATTTGTCATAGTGTGTCCAAATAAAGTCATTATTATTATTATTATTATTATTTCAAATTGTTTTACTGTAGACTTTTTCAATTCATACGCAAGCGAGTTAAAAACTCCCCCTGCCCATTATGTATGGAATATAGGTAGTATGTATCTCTATAAATATTGACTGTATACAAAATTTTATATGAAAGTTGTTTAGCATTTTACTCCCATAAGGCGACATTCCAATATTTTTATTTCAGAAAACAAATGAATAAACCTATAAAGAGCGTTTAAAAAAGCGGTAGAGCATCTCCGTGTGACCTGGAGTCATTGGATTTGACCCATTTTCAATAGACTTGTTACATGTGGCATATAAGTCTACTGTGCAAAGTTTCGACCGAATAGGTTCAAGCGTTTGGCAGGGACAGAGAAGCGTGACCCCACGGAGTCATTGGATTTGACCCATTTTCAATAGGCTTATTACATGTGGCATATAGGTCAACTGTGCAAAGTTTGAACTAAATAGGTTCAAGCGTTTGGCAGAGACAGAGAGGCGTGGCCCCAAGGGGTCATTCGATTTTACCCATTTTCAATAGGATTACTACTTGTGCCATATAGGTGAACTGTGCAAAGTTTGAACCAAATCGGTTCAAGCGTTTGACAGTTATCGTGCTCACGGACAGACGGACAGACGGACACCACCGACTCCCCTATAAAGCTTTCATCGCTTTGCTCTGCCGCTTAATAACGAAAAACAATTGAATTTTTTTATATTTTTTCTCTTTTCAATGGCGTACCACGTTAGCATACGTGTAGAAAAAATTTAATTTTTATTTCAAGCCTTTTGTGATAGGTTATGCTACTGCCTTGCATTTAATGGTGAACATTTTGACCATTCATTACGATGAAAACCATTTTACTGCTAATTTCGTATGGTCTTCAAGGTTTAATAATAAACGTACAAGTTCATTTGTTTTATTTTGATGTGGGATATGTGGATTAATGTTATTGATCAAATTATAATAATTTTTTTTCAAATTTTTTTTGAATAAGGGTATAAATATGTTGCCTAATGAAAAGATGCACTGCAAATTAAAAAAATTCCATTGTTTTTATCGTTACTCATTTGTTTTCTGAAATAAAAACAACTGAATGTTATTATTATTATGGGAAATAAAATGTTAAACAACTTTCTTATAGAAAAATGTTGTATACATTCGATATTTACCGAGATATATACGATATTCCATACATAATGGGCACCCTGTATTATAATTAAATAATCTTTGGAAAATCTTGGTATAGTGTACATCTTTTTACATCTAATATTTATGTTGTTTGTATCGCCACTAAACGTTTTTGGTTTTATCCTTTCAAATTGTTTCTCTAATTGCGGAACCAACAAACTCTCATCTCTTATACAAATACTTTGGCCACTAATGGATTAATTCAGGGTATGAAGGTTCGTCCAACCCCTATTATAGAACGTATGTACAAAATTTAGTTCCATTCGATGCAATAGTTTACCCATAATATGGAAAAACGTCAAACATTAACAGTTTTTTGTTACTTTGAGATACTCTGCCCAACAGCTTTTCAGATTTTCCTTTTATGTCTAAGAATATGTGTACCAAATTGGTTCCAATTGGTTCAGGTGTTTAGCCGGAAATGAGAATACAGAGAGACAGACAGACCGACCGACATCATCGAGATTTTACTTGATTCGGATGCCTGAGCCTGGTGCTTCAAAACGTGTATTTCCGTCACAACAGAACAGGGTCATTTTTTACCTCATTGCATGCACCTACCTTTACTAGCGTGCGGGTTGTAAAAAAAACGAGCCCATCTGATGGATGAGAGATTTTGTATTTTCATTTAAGAATTTCTTCTTTTTATCAATTATTCTTTGGCTATGTTCACGGTTATTTGGTATTTCCTGGTGCAGGGAGAGAAACAAATAACAAGATTGCTTATGAAACTGCATGTCGTAAGAGACGACTAATAAACAGGACTTTTAGGGAGGTGAATTGTTTAGAGAGGTTAGTAGTCCGTCCGTCCGTCCGTCCGTCCGCTAACTTTGCGACGCTACTAGTTCTTTATCTTAAGAGCTATTGTTCTACTTTTTTCGTTATTTGGTTCGTTATGGTGTCGAGTCTTGTACCAAGGAAGGAATTTTTTCTGTACCGCTTACAAAAAAAGTTATTGCAAAAAAAACAAAAAACCGTTTTTGTACATTTAGATATTGCAGACTTCTTCGGGTCTTACACACAAAACCAGGGTGTATTTTTTTTTTATTGCGGAGTGAATTTTGATGTAACGTATCTTTAATATAATATCAGGATTCCGTCGCTCGTTTCAAGTTCGACACTTGATTTGTCAATTTTACTACCACCTTAAATAACGGTGTCTTTCTTCTCTCCGTTGCTATTTTCTTTTTAGCGCATTTCCACAAAAATAAAAAAAAATGCGCTATTGTGGCCACTTTGTCCGTCCGTCCGTCCGTCCGTCCGCTAACTTTGCGACGCTACTAGTTCTTTATCTTAAGAGCTATTGTTCTACTTTTTTCGCTATTTGGTTCGTTATGGTGTCGAGTCTTGTACCAAGGAAGGAATTTTTTCTGTACCGCTTACAAAAAAAGTTATTGTAAAAAAAACAAAAAACCGTTTTTTACATGTTCCATAATTTTACACTTTTGCCGTTTATTAACGATCCTAGAGATCGTTTATAATTTTGCATTGCTATCTGTCGCCTGCCGGTTGGTTTCTCCGTCTGTTCCTTTGTCTGTCTGTCCATCTATCTGTCCGTGTGAACGATAACTTTGTTTAGAAATGTTCGATTGCTTTTACATCTCCGTTAGTTATGAACTGAATTGCATGAAATTCAATATGGGCATAGCTTTAGCCATATAATACGCAATGCCAAAAGTTGAGTCGAATCGATTCAAAAGTCACAGTGCCCTTTTCGCATCTCGACCATTTATCACGAATTGCAAACTTTTTTACTTATAAAAGTATTTGAATGAAATTTGATACATAGGCACTTGGATAAAGGAAAATCAAACGCCAATTTCAAAATTTGGTTTTGCGCATGCGCAGTGCCAACTTTTTTATTTATGGAAGAATTTAAACGAAATTTGATACATAGGCACTTGGGATATAGGAAAATCAAACGCC